TCAGTTACTTGGACCTTCAGCGACGGCCTCATCATCAAGGCTCATGTAGGGGCTTCACTCAAAAACAGGAAGCTTGCCACTGGGACTAGTCCAAGGCAAGGTATTAGCTGGAGCTTTCACGATGGCCTAGTAATTAGGACTAATAGCCGCGTCGCCAAGCGCTCTGGCCAAAACAGAAGTACATCGACGAGTACTGAGTCCCGGGGAATGTCTGCTAGCTGGGGCTTTTACGAAGGCTTGACAATCAAGCAGCGATCTATTTCCAAAGGCAAAGGAAAGGGAAAGGGTGTGGACAGGAACCTGCACCCTTTGTTCCCTAAGCCGAACGCCGGACAGCGTCGGCGTATCACATACACTTTCTGGGATGGTGTCACGATGCGAACAATTGATGGGGCTTCAAGTCGAGCCTTGACTCAGTCGAAGTCGAAGCTCGGCTGGACATTCCACGATGGAATCTGCAGGACGACTGTTGAGCCTTCGAATCAGGTTTCCACCCGGGCTCAACCGAAGCGCACGTACGGCTGGACCTTCTATGACGGTCTGAGAATCGAGCCCAATGTTGAAGCTGGAACCTTTTCAAAGACATCATCAGCGATTCGTGGCCCTGCATCTCCCAACTCGCGTTCGGCCCAATTGACGAATAGGGATACTCTAAGTCTTCCGAACGAAAAAAGGGCTGAATTATTTCCAAAAAGGCCATCGGAGGATGCTGTCTCTGATGTTCCAGACGAGGCTGCTCTGGACGAAGAACAGCTTGATTCCTCCCAGCGACTCAAGCCGTTGCCATCATCTATCTCACCTAAGGAACCCGATCTGTCTCCGAAGTCGAAGCCTCCACCCCAGTCTTCTCCTTCATCCGGGGTTTCCTATTTCTCGGCCCAGCCTGGATCATCAAACGTAAACCTGGTACCTGTTCAAGATAGACCTAGGAGACCACCAACCTCACGGGCCAATACCAGATTAGAAACATCTCCAAGCGTCTCCGATACACGGTACTATGTTATCGAAAAGGGAAAAGCCGTCGCAAAAGACGCCTTCAACCAGCCTCCTACGTCCAACTCAAACAAAGATGCCACGCCTCTACTTCTGAAGTCTAGAATTAGGCAAAAACCACTACGATCTAGACCCTCCCTTGAAGACTGGGACGGAACCTTCCCCCGCTCTACCTTTGAGTCTGCGACCAGGCGGAGACAACGCTCGAAGACTAAACTCCCTATCGAAAATGGTAACGGTACACCTCCAGCACTTGCACCCAGGCGCACGGACGTGCCTCCTCCAACTGCTTCTAAGTACCACATCGAGCACATCGAGGACGGAAATGCTGTACCTACATCTACGGATCCGCTTCTTCAGTCTCAAGCGCTTTCGGCCATGCGGAAAAATATAATCGTTGGATACTAACAGTCTAGGGACGAGGCGTTAGATGAGGACGAGTAGGTTGAAGTTACGCGAGGATTCTGTTACTGTGATTTATGGAGGCGATTTGTGCTTAGAAAGAAAGACGTGGTCATTCATCCTTTCGCTTTATTTGCAATCAGGGTATGGGCGCCTCTCTGCTCGAAGGCGTTAGCTGAACATTGTCAATTCGAGCGTTCGTTCTGCAAGAGGAGACAGGATCAGGTGTGATGGTGAAAATAGTATGATGCATAGGGAAAAAGTGGCTGAGAGTAAAGATATCTGAATGTCGCAAGAATGTCAAATGGCAAACATGCAAAGAATTGTGCACGACGATTTCAATCTGTGTCCGTCGCAGTCGTCCCTTTCGCTCACTTGGCCTGACACCGGCACCTCACTAGAGAGACGAGGAAGAAAATCGAAGAACCCTCGTCGATGTTGAGGAAGTCAAGGTGTCTATCTAAGGTGATGAAAGAGTCAAAGATATCAAAGCTCGAGTTTTGATTACTAGCCTTCAATCCGACCCGTAGCTACCTTACCTAGTCATCCGTCACCTTGAATTCTCCCGCACCAACCATCCAACGCACTCCGTGATCTAACACGGTACATTGTTCGAACGTGCTATGACGTAGTGACTCCTCGCCGATCTCTCACATTGGCTCGTCTTGCTACCTAGGTAGATTGGAAGAAGTCGGGTGGTCGCTACGTGCAGTGGATGGCGCATCCGGCATCGGTGGCGAGAAGGGAGTAACAAGTCGTCTAGGTGCTGGGAGGGGAGAGAAGACGAGGATGGGAATGGACCGAACGACTTGAGTCTTTTCGAGCCCCTTCTTCTTTATACGTTCCACGATTGATTGATTGACTGGCGGTTTGCTTCACACTTGTTCGAATCGGTCGCAGTGCATGAATGATGGCGCGTCAACGAGCGGCGTATAGCGGTGGTTGAGTCGTGTCCAGCAGACTGGGTACGTGGCAGTCTTCGAGGTCCATCGTCCCCACCCCCTCTGCGATCTGGTGCTCCGCACCGTCACGGCTCGTTTCGCTCGACGCCCCCCTCTTCGAGAGGGTCGCGGGCTGAGAAGGGTCGCAGATGACCTGGACCGGGACCTCTAACACTATGGCCTCGTGGTGGATCTTGTCGACGGTGATGTGGAGCACCAGCACGTATCGACGAGCCGACAGCGGATTGAGAAATGTAGGGATCAGGGCCTTGGACGCGTTCACCGGGACTATCAGCGTGGTCGTCCACGGGGTGGCAAGAGTGTCTGAAGCGATGGTGCCGGCGGAGGACAGGCGATGTAAGCGCCACGAGAGGGTGTCGCACTGGCGGATCTCTCGATAAGTGCAGCTGGAGGTCATCTCGGCCAGCGGCTCCGATTTGACGCTCTCCTTGGTGGGCACCTGAGTGAATGGGGTTGTGGAATAGAATGTTCGGACTTTCAGGTGAGACTTCACGGTCAATCTCCACTCGTACGGTGTGGCGGCTGGGGTGTGGGCTTCGCACGGCTGGAATAGAAGCTTGACCGCTGCTACAGTGGAGGCTCTAGGGGCAGATGTCGAGATGTTGAAGGCCTTTGGTTCCGCCGCCGAGATGGTCAGTTCACCCAGTGGCCGATTCCACACGCGTCTCTTCAAGGTCTTGACACAGGTCGTTTTGTACTCGTGAGGGAAATGTTCGATCTGAAGGGGAGGAGACGCTGGAATGGAAGGCATGACGGTAACCTCTCGCTTGGTCCGGCACTTCGTCGCTGAAGTCGTGCCTCGTGGGAACCTGGTGGACACGGCAGTAATAACATACGTGATTCTCGGTTGCATGTATTCTTGCTTGGTGGCTAGTCCGTAATAGCTTTGGCCCTCTCTCACGGTTGGAGGGAGAGTCAGATACTCTGGGTTTACATCGGACCTCGAAGAGATGAGCTCAGTGGGAATGGTGAACGCAAAAGGCAGACGGTATACCGAGAGCCCTTCCCATCGATGTCGATGAGAGGATGTTGCCTCGATCTCTTGGGTTTCACTCAGGAACTTGCATGGAAATCAGTATCTTGTCATCTATCAGTTCCACCAAGAGAAAGGTCTTACTTTGTATTCTGCTGTAGCATTGTGATCTGGCTGTGCGTTGAGTGACGGCCGCCATGTCCTTATAATGCCTGTGTCGAAGGAGTATCAACAAGGATGCCCGCAACAAGCACTGGCACATGCACGCACCTTGAAACACGACGGTAATATTCACGCCAACAAGACTCTCTGAAAACACTTCCAGATAGCCGGCCAGTATGTCACCGCCTTTCCGTGTGTTACAGCATTCCGTTCGCTCTGGACCATCGTCAGGCAAGAGTACTATCCGGAGAGTGGCCTCTGAAGGTTCAAAAGGTGCCATCGATTCTTTCAGAGCCTCGCAAAAGAAACAATCCCCGATAATGTCGTGTCCCGATAGCTTAGAACATCCGGAATCCGAAAGATGGCAGCATTACTACGAGAGCAAAGAAGATGAAGTTTGAGAGAATGCGAAGGCGCTACGCTATGTCGAAGTCTGTCATATTTGCTGGCCATATCAGCTGGCCCAGTCCCCCCTTAGCCACAGGTTTTAGTTGCAGATATGCAAGTTGGCCTGGTTTCTTCACCTTCCCCACACCGGCCCACACGGACGCAAAAGTGCTGGAACTTCATGTTCCGGGTATCGCGTGATCCAACGATACCCAGTAAGTTACCGGCTCAATCATAAGTTCGCCAATCACCAATATTAATTTTAAATAATAATAATAATAATTATATATATATATATTATTAAACAAATTTTTTTTTTTTTTTTTTAAATAAAAATTTTTTTATTTCCCTTATCAATATTACATAAAAAAAAAAAAAAACTAAAAAATATACATAAGAATCTCGCAACTAATCATGACTAGGGAAAGTGATTAAAATGAGTACATTATGTTACCAGCATTGACGATCGTACTTTACTGGCTTGATGTCGATATCTGTGATACGCTAGAAGGTAAAGAAATGAGCTGGGCCCTTGAGAATGTATCAACAAGTAGTGGGGCCATGTAATCCCACCGAAACGCGCGCGTAGGTACGGAAATACTAAATTGGCGTATTTCAACTAGGGAAACTAGATACCTTAGCTAGGTCTCCCGAGAGCTCCCGCCTATGGCCGATACGTGCCGTCCAAATTGATTCTCCTAATAACAGAGTAGAATGAGGACACCAATCAAACTTCTCAGACATTCGTCGGTATCCTCCCCTGAATTTTTGTCCTATCCTTATCAGAGGACTCGGTTTTGACCGGCACTACTTACTCGTACGAGTACTCGACGCGGACCACGGCTCGTCGACGGGAGGCGTTCTCTTTGCAGAATATAGGCATAGGCGATTCACTGCAAATAATTATCAGATTTAAAGAAGTCGGAAGCCGATGATTTCTAGCAGTTGTCTTTTCCGAGGCGGTCCCTGCATGGTGGGGCCAATTCTGAACAAAAAGCTGTTAATCATTTCAGCCTCTGTTTACCCACAATCATCCATTCATGCCTAGCCCAAGTGTCTCTTGATCTTACATGAATACGTGATACCAGCGGACCATCATCTCCCAAAGCGCACCTGCAACCATGAGCTGGCAGTCTAACGCTCAAGGCAAAAGAGCGAGTCTTATCGAGCTGATTCCGCTGAAATGGCGAATTCCAACTTCCGACATCCCATCCGTCACCAGACTTCGCGACTTTGGTGAATACATATGTCGGTTCCTTGATCGTCGGGAGCTGGAAATCACCAATGCACCCAGCAGTAGGATTTTGGCCAACATCCGATCTGGAGAATGGACATCCGTGGATGTCACCAGAGCTTTCTGTCATCGCGCATCAGTCGCGCACCAGCTGGTAAGCAGTGGACGGTCAAGTCACCATTAGACTCCTTCTCAAGTCACACTCACCACTTTGCTAGACCAATTGCTTATCGGAAATCTGCTTTGTGGCCGCAGAGCAACGGGCAAAAGCGCTGGATGAGTCTTTTCTTCGGACTGGCCAGACGGTAGGACCACTACATGGACTTCCAGTCAGTCTGAAAGACAGGTTCAATATCGACGGACTCGAGTCCGCTTGCGGCTATGTGAGCTGGCTTGGGAAAGAAAAAAGTGAAAATGACGAGGGCATATTAGTCAAGCGATTACGTCGCATGGGCGCTGTCTTTTTCGTTAAAACCAACGTACCGATGAGTATGCTGGTAGGTTGCCGTCCACAGGATATGCCCTGGAGCATGTAAACACTCATTGACGTGACACAGATGGGAGAGACTAATAACAACATCATCGGGTCCACGATAAATCCATATAATCGCAACCTCTCTGCCGGAGGAGCTTCGGGAGGTAAATCTATCCGAATTCACAATCCCAGAACATTGTCTCCTCGACTTACATTTCGATAGGCGAGGGCGCACTGCTGGCTTTGAAAGGCTCTCCATTGGGTTGGGGATCTGACATTGGTACGATACAAGACCGTTTGGTGGTGTAAGGATTGGTGTTGATTCTGAAACATAGCTGGATCGATTCGCATACCGTGCGCTTTCAACAACCTCTTTGGGCTGCGTCCGTCATTCGGGCGTCTGCCTGCTAGTGGAATGGCCACAAGCGTATGTGCCGCTTTGATATATCCACTACTTTACTAATCGAATAGTTGCCAGGTTTGCCAGTCAATGGAAGCGTAGTTGGTCCTATGGCAGGTGATTTACCGACAATAGAAATGGCTATGAAGGTAGTGCTCGATACTTTCCCTTGGCAAGATGATTGTGATGTTTTAGAGATGCCTTGGAGAGAAGAAAAGCTTCAAAACATTCGGAGTCGGACGGCTCGACACCGCGAGAGAGATGGAAAGCTTGTCTTTGCCGTCATGAGTTGTGATGGAAACGTACAAGTACATCCGCCGGTGCAGCGAGCTATGGCGCTCGTCACGAAAGCTCTTTTGCAACGCGGCTATGAGGTCCGCGATCCGGTGAATTGCTCTCTATACTGTTATGCTATTGACATGTGCAGGTTATCGAATGGCAGCCGCCACCGCATCATGACGCAGTTCAGACTCTAGTAAGGCAGCACACAGCAGACTCAACTCAGGGCTGGGTAAGCGCAAGGATACATCTAACATGGCGACAGTTCCAAATACTCGGAAGTACAGCAGGGAAGGAGGTTCGCAACGCTATAGACGCAAGCGGGGAACCTCCTGTCCATCAATTACAGACCTGGTACGACAACGATAACGTGGAACCTTCGTCCAGTGCAGAATTTTGGGATCTTTGTAATCAACGAGACCAGTATCGCTCGGAATACAACCAATATTGGACATCAACGCGAGAAAAAAACGTTGCCAAAAGACAAGTGGACGGTGTCATCATGCCTGTGGCTCCAACGGCGGCGGTAGAAGAGGGGTGCTTTGATTACTACGGTAAGTCCTCTTGTCGTGTCCCATACCCGTTCGCTTGCTTACAAATATCCCAAGCCTACTCCGGCATTGTCAACCTTCTCGATTACACTTCCGGCAGCTTTCCCGTCACCTTTGCCGATCGTTCTATCGATGTCGAGACACCTGACCACGTTCCCTTGAATCCGACCGACCGTGCAGTATGGCGCACATGTGAGTTCCTGCCCTCTGCCACTCGATTCGTATAGCTGTCAAATATAACCAAATCAACAGATCAGAAAGACTTGTTTGACGGAGCCCCTGTTGGTCTACAGGTCATGGGCAAACGCTTCGAGGAAGAAAAGGTCTTGGGCCTGATGGAGGCGCTGACTGCCGCGTTGCAGGATTTCTCGGTTGGTCAGATAGGCGAGCCAAGCAGCCCCTTTTGATGTTTGTTCGGGGACGCGGTATGAAAACGAGACTAAGGTACTTGCGGGGAAAAACGTGTAATAAACCTTTAGTGAGAGCTTAGATTGTCACATCCTGCCACAACAACTGCTTTAAGTTTAGCGTTGCCGAGTCCCCCGGGCCCGGCTTTTATCATTAGTTCTACCCCGCGATTGACCTCGGCAGCATCGGGAACGCTTACTTTAACATTCCATGCGGCATCTTGACATGAGTCTCACACTATTGCACACCTCAGGCGAATTCCCGTTGCAGATTTACTTCCCCTGGCACTTTGGCAGATACGCCCTCGGAGTTTGTCATATTACTCTAACGTCCTTTCTCATCCCATTGAACCCTTCCTCGTTTGTAAACCATTGAAATCACCGAGTCGACTTTCATTGCATGGACATTCATCTCTTAATCATAAGCCATGACGGAGGACTACGAGATACCCCAAGACTATGGTAATCTCCCCGAAACCGAAGCGCTCCCACCGGCCGATACTTCGGGCGTAAAACATGCACCGCTACGTACCGACCACGAAAGTGGATCTGAGCCAACCGCCAAACAAAGCGAGAAGTCCGGAGGAGAGAATCGCTCTTCCGTGTCCAATGGACAATACGACATTCCGGACGAGTACGCCAACCTCGATGAGCTTGCCGGACCGTCACCGGTCGACAATCGACATGGGGAAGGATTGTATCACCATCACGACCTTGAAGAACTCCGGTCTAAAGAGCCTAAAGAGCAGGAAGAGACACAAGGTATACAACCCCTCTCTATGCAGTCGATTGAGGAAGACGAGGACGATCTCCGTGAGTACGCGAATCTTGATGAGTTAGAGGGGCCTCCACCGGATGAGAATCCGGATGAGCGAAGAAGTTACCGTCATCATGACCTGGAAGAAGCTCGAACGAATGAACAGCAGTACGAGCGGCGAGGATCTCGCCAAGAACGGAGCGGACAGCCGTCCCCACATGATGAAAAAGGGTCCCAGCAAAAGATGCGGGAGTGGAAATTACACAGGATGATTTTTCACCTTTATGTCACGTCGTACTTGATTCTTTTCTCGATCTTGGGTACTCTGGCACGGCTTGGACTCCAAGCTCTCACAGTATACCCAGGTTCCCCAATTGCGATTTCTGAACTATGGGCCAATGTCGGAGGATGCTTGATAATGGGATACCTGAGCGAAGACCGGACATTGTTTCACAACGAATGGGAAATTGCAGAGAAGCGCGCGCGGCGAAATCTCCATCTAGAACGAGAGAACAGCGACGACACCACGAAAGAGGCGGCCGACGAAGAAGCGATCTTGGTAGCAGCTAGGAAGGAGCATCAAACAGAAAAGAAAACTATTCCAGTCTTCATCGGGCTCACAGTCGGCTTCTGCGGCTGTTTCACCTCCTTTTCTTCTTTCATGCGTGACATTTTCCTCGCTCTTTCCAACCATTTGAACACCAGCGCGTATACAGACAACAGGACAGTCGTTGGTACCAATCCTCCTCGCGACGACGGCAACAGCGTCATGGCAGTCCTGGCCGTTCTGATTGTAGAGATCTGCCTCTGTTTGTCAGCTCTAGAGTTTGGGGCGCACATCGCAATCACACTCGAGCCCGTGATGTCGAAAGTGCCCAGGCTGAACATCAGACGGATTACGGATCGGATAGTGGTTTTGATTGCGTGGGGTTCTTGGGTGGGAGCTATCGTCATGGTCATCTGGCCTCCCGACCGTCCATCTGGTCCGGCGGCAGATGGACAGACCCTCTGGGCGCAAGAAACCTGGCGGGGCAATGTCCTCTTCGCACTTGCTCTCGCACCCTTGGGCTGTCTCGTTCGTTTCCACGCCGCCTTGAAGTTCAACGGGTTGATAAGTCACTTTCCGGTTGGGACTTTTGTCGTCAATATTGCAGGGACAACCGTGTTGGGCGCATGCTGGGATCTGCAGCGTGCACCGTTGACCAATGGAGCAATCGGTGGCGGTAGGGTTGGTTGCCAAGCGCTCCAAGGCGTTCAAGACGGATTTTGCGGCTGTCTCACCACTGTCAGTACGTGGGTTATAGAATTGAAAGGCTTGCAGCGAAAACATGGGTACTTCTATGGAGCGATGAGCGTTGCTGTTGGCGTTTCCAGTTTAGTGGTTATCATGGGTACTTTTGTGTGGGAACAAGGGAACCGGCCAATGGTATGTAGTGTATGAATAGACAATATCACACTTGGGTTAAGAAGCAGTAGCATCCCGAGTGATCCGGATGGGCCTACTGACTTCCCAAAGTCCTCGTTCCATTTTCGCCGGTGTCCGACACGTATCAAAGAATAGTTCCCAGGGTCTGACTGACCACTCAGCAACAGCGGGTACCTGGCATTCAGTCTGGCTTCCTCACGGTCTGACAAGTCCGGTTGAGTCGGTGGCGAATTTGGCAATAGCATCAACATTTCAAAACTCACAATGATTAAAATTGGGCATGACAGTGTTTGCCTTGGTCCAAGGGGTTGAGGGTCCTTGTTAAGTCAACCCTACAAATGGAGGGGTTGTTGGGATGCGCAATCGTGGCTGTCATTTTTAGATCCCGGTGGGGTGGAAACCAAGACCCTCGGACACAGTTGCACAAGGAGACCTCTATCGAAGGAGACATTGGTGATAACAAATTTCGAGCTTCCGATACTCTCTGTAATCGTGCTGTGGACATCTTTTTCTCAAAGGCGCTGGTCATCGAGGTCTCAGGCGATAAAGCGGTATTGTTCCGGCGCCAAGATCTGTGGGCGCCCCGCCGGGAATAAAATGACCGATAAAAGTGTTTCTCAATTAATTATCCTCGCACTTGCACTGCAAACCTATCGCTTCAACTTGACTCCCTCATCGTTTCAATGTTCCTCGTCACGCCTAAACCGAAGGCCAACAGTAACAGCGACTCCAATCCTCCTACCATTCGACCCATAGCCAAGATCACTGCTACTTCCAAAGTAGCCAGAGTGCAGACAGCATGCGATCGATCAGCGTATCTAGTTCCTTCATATTCTATACATGCGTCCCTTCTACATCCTTCCATACATATTCCATCATTATTCCTTTCATATAGTTAGTCATAGATAGTAGTGCTTTATTCTCCATCAACTACATAATAGCTAATAGCCCCACCACTAAATCTACACGCTTTCTATCATTACTACTACTATACTACGCTGAGAGGTTATAAGCCCTCAATTAATACTAATAATACATTAATATTCCAATTACATCAAATTTCAAAAAATATACACACACACATCCTTCTAGTCATAATAGATAAATTAAGATAATAAGATAATAAAGATTAATAGTCTATTATATTCACACTAGAGAAGTTATAAGAATTATATAATCTACGAATCTAGAAGACAAATTAGATAAAGCCTAAATAATTACGACTTAAGAAGATCTTTAAATTCGCTATACTCTTATCGATAATTAATATTTCTATACTTAAAAAAGTATTTAATTAAGATCGCTAATATTAAATAATATATAATTACTATTAGATAGCTAAAATATACTTAATTCTCGCTAAAATATTAATCTAGTTATAAGAGAACGAAGAGTATAATAAATAGAAGGTCGCTAACTTATAAATTAAAGATAATATATATATATCTCTTAAATTAGATAACTATATCTATATTATAGATATTTATAATATATATAATATAATTAAAACACTCGAAAGTATATATAAATCTAAAGAATATATCTTTCATAAAGTATTATAAAGAATTATTAGCTATATAAGCTTAGCTAACTATAAAGAAGTTACTAAATATATTAAGATAATTAAAAAAATTAAAATAAAACTCGCTAAGTTAAGTTATTAATACACGTAAAAGATTATAATATTCTTCCTTTATAGACTTTTCTTCTCTTATAAATTATTTATAAAAATTATCTTAAATAGTCGAGATAAAGACGTTAACGAAAGATTATTAAAATTAGATTTTAATTATATTATCGAATAACTTCTTAATAAGAAATATTATTAAAAATTAACTAGTATTAATAACTTTAATAATAAAATTATATTTATAAATAATAAGAATAAGAGAAACGACGATAAGAATCGTAATAATAATAATAATTATACTCTCTAGCTTAAATATAACGACTATAATTTACGCTATAATAGAACTTACTAACTATTTAATCTCGATTAGGCCTCCGCTAAATAAATTAAAAAAAATAAGAATTATATCGAGAAATTTAAGAAGAAGAAGAAGACTAGCAAGCTTACCTCTATCGAAACTATCAAAAAATTAAAAATAGTAAGAATAGTCTATATAAAGGCTATTACGATATTATATAACGACGGCTAATATTTTAATAATACAGCCTTATTCCACATAATATATTCCGAAGCCTATTTCGTTAAGAAACCAACACCCCTCGAAAATTCTATTTTAATCGAGACTACTAATAAAAGGATATTAGAGGCTACTACCGTAAATAATACTTTACTAAAAACTCTTATTAAGAATAATAACGATGAGGATAAAGAATATATACTTACACTTATAAATATCTACTATATCGAAGATCTATTTATAAATCTACTCTTTCTAGATATATTTTAATATAATAATCTTACTTATATCGAAAAGAGAAATCGTCTAAGAATCTATAATAATAATAACGATATCGTTCTTAAGAAAGAATTAATAAATACACTTTATAAGCTAAGACTTATATTATTTAAAGTTATAATAACTAAAGAAATCGCTATAACCGCGGTTATTAAAAAAGTTAACTATCGAAAAATAACAGCTATTAAATAATATTAAGTATTAAATTATTTAAATTTTAATAATATTATTAGATTATCGACTATAATAAAGAGAATAAAAATTATAAATAATATTAAAAGATAATTTTATAAGTTATATATCTATAGAAAATAGAAGAAAATCTTAGATTATAAATTAATAACTAAGATAAAAAATACTTTTAATAATGTTTATATAGATCTCTTTAATAGCGAATTAATATTACTTTACTTTAAAGAAAACTATTATTATTACTCTATAAAGATTAATTAAAAGACTTAATTTCGATAGATAGATTTCTTAAAAACTAAGAATTAGATATTTAAGTTACTATAAAACTTTATTATTATAATTAAGATATAATTTTATATTATTTTTAAGTATATTTATTTTAATAACGATAATAAGTATAATAATAAGAAAATCTAAGATTAGCTAGTCTTTTAAAATATATAATAAGAGTTAATTATACTCGATTTATCTAAATAGAATAGTATTAATAAGCGTATTAATAGTATTTTTATTTAGAAGATATATACTTAGTTAATAATTATAGATCTATTATTAAGTCTATAAACTAAAGTAATTAAAATAACTATTCTAAATATAAATTACTTATCTACGACTTTATTAAGAAAGATAATTATAATATTATATAAGGTCTTTATTAAAAAAAGTTAAATATAGCTTATCTAAGGCTATTTAAGATAATAATTTATATTTACGACTATAAGTATAAATAAAAGAGAAAAATAGCTAAATAAGAGTTTAAATATATCTTACTTAACTACGAGGAAAATCTAATTAATATCGATTATGAAATAAAATAAATCTCGTCTAATACGACGATATAATATCTTATAAAGACCTCTTTAGACTTTTACCCCGTCTTTTAGTAATATTAAAGATAAGCTAAATAAGATATTAGAGGACGAGGACGTCATGAACACTGTCACTATCGTTAGAAGAATTTTGTAATCCCTAGAAAATAAAGCTTCTCCTTTATTAGTCACAAATAGTAAGATAATAATAAATGCGCTTAGAGAAGACTCTGAGGCTATAGCCCAAAATCCGTCTATAGACTTAGGAAATTCTAAGGTCGACTATATTTCGGATTTATCTAAGCTAAGTAACTAGGAGAGTATTATTATCTGCAAATCTGAAAAGTTTCTACTAAATTTTAAATTGCTGATCTTGCGAATAGGGCTGAAATTAAGAATTCCGTCGGTTTAGCAACTATCTTAAAAATCAGCTAAAATTCCGTCGATTTAATAACTATCTTAATCTTTTCTATTAGTTCTATTAGTTTAATAGTAATATATATAAAAAAAGAAAAGTTCTAATAATCGACGTTGCGATGATAAGGTTCTACGATAACGAGTATTAACGTTAACTTAAATTTGGCTACGAAATTAAACGATTTAATGAAATTAGTCGCGTAAGTAATACTCTAATATAGCGTATATTAATAATAATATATATTAATATCATATATATATAGAATAGTACTTAGAGTGTATTAGAGTACATTGCGTAAAATTTTTAAAGTTGCTAAATTTTTTTAAAGTTGCTAAACTAATAGAACTAGCGAAAAGGATTAGACATAGATAAAGTCTGCTTAATAGACTAAATCGTGCTTATAGTGCGGACCCGGCGGAAATCGTACGGAAATTCACTTTCTAAATTTGTAGATGATTTCTAATATATTAAATTCTTCTATATCTAATCTACCAAGACGCTTATAGCGAATTAAGAACGTATTAAAAAACTATAGTACTATTTAAGACAATAAATAAACTAACTTCGATATCTTAAAGAAGGGATTTATTAAGTTAATACGGGCTATATTACTTATACTCGATATTAAGTCTTATACTTATAAAGAAGTAATTAATAAATCTAAAGTATTTTAATAAATAATCGCTATATAGAAGTAATAAAACTTACTATAGAAGATAAAGATATAAAAGCTAATATTAAGACTAGTATATTATACTATTTTTAAAAAAAGATAAATCTATAAGAAGAAGCTAAGAGTAGATAATGAAATTCTACGCTATAAAACTAAATACGTTATTAAGAATTTTCTTTAATAAGAAGATATCGACTATAATAAAATCTTTTTAGATATTATTAAGTTAATTATATAAAAGATTCTCTTAGCTTTAATTATATATTATAATTAAAAAATAGATCTAGTTAATATTATAATAGTATTTCTATATATAAAACTTAAATATAAGATCTATATAAAATAGCTAGAAGGCTTTATCGAATTAGATTAAGATTAAATCTATTTACTACTTAGAATACTATACGAGCTAAAATAGTCTAGCTATAAATAATATAAGACGCTAGTAGAGTTTCTACTTAAAATTAAATTTATATACTTATAATTCGACTTATATCTATTTCTCTATTAATTAAATAAAGAAATTATCTTTCTAGTCATCTATATTAATAATATTAAAATCGTTAATAATCGATTATTAATTAATTAGACTAAGAGACTTTTATATAAATAATTTAATATCGTGAATCTCGACCTATATATATACTATCTGGGTATAAAGATCGAGAGAAATCGTTTAATAAGAATACTTAAAATAAGTTAACTTATATTTATTAATAAGATCCTCGTAATTTATAATATAGAAGAGTATTATATATTATCTACTCTAATAAAATTAAATATAAATAACTATCTTATCTCTATATCTAATATATATATAGTTAATCTAGAGAATATTATTATATTTAAGAGTAACTTAGAGGAAATTAATTATTTAATTACTTAAATATAATTAAATATAGTATTTATTACTAATAAACTAGCTATATTCTCTTCTAATCTAAACTATTAATACTAATAAGTATATAAAAAAATATTATAATACTTAGCTAAGATTAGAATATATAAAATAATCTTTAAGATTATAAAAATAGTAATACTATAATTATTTAACTACTTAGATATTAATTAGATTAATAAAATATCTATAATATAATTAATAATTAAAATAATTATAATACTAAATAATAGATCTATTAATTAAAGATCTATTAAGTAGAAGATTATAATATAATTTATATATAAAATCGAATATATAACTACTTCTAATATTACTTAGAATATAATATAAATATAATATATTTTACTAGAGCTAGAATAATAGCTAGATAAATTATTTATAATATAATATAATAATAAAAGAGCTATCGATTTAATAAAGAACTCTATAAATTATAAGAGATTATGTTATATTAACATTAACTACTATTTTATATACGAATTAATAACTAATTAAACGCGAAGATATAAATATATACTTATGAAGAATATAAAGGCTAACGATTTTATTAAAGTATTAATTACTATTAAATTTAGTAACTTTATCGAGATAATAAGATTAGTAAATAAAGATCTAGACTAATAAGCTAGAATAATATATAATTTTAACCTTAGAATAGAGGTATTTAAATATTACTAGATAGGGGGAGTGTTAGCGTATCTAATTCCTTCATATTCTATGTATGCGTTTCTTCTATATCCTTTCATATATATTCCATTATTATTTCTTTCATGTAGCTAGCCATAGATAGCAGTGCTTTGTTCTCCATCAGCTATATAATAGCTGATAGCCCCACTACTAAATCTACACGCTTTCTATCATCACCACTGCTGTGCTACGCTGAGACGATCGATGTCGTATGAAGAAGGTCAAGGTAAGTCATGAATCTTGAGTATCGCACTGTGCCACTTTTGTGCTAATACATCATCATATAGTGTGATGGCGACCTACCTTGTCTACGGTGTTTCCAGGACAAGCTCCTGTGTGTCACCACCAAAAAGGCGTCCAACGACCCAAAGGGAGGACTGAGAGAGTAAGTCAATCATACTCACCATAAAATGTCACCCTAAATTAGCAAAGTACTAACATTTGACCAAAGATATGTTCATTCCATGGAGTCGCAGCAAACACGTCTCATTGAAGCACTCCGAAAGCTTCACCGCCATGTAAAACAACCAATCGAGGAGGAGGACATGCAGGAAATCTTGCAGACAGCAAGATCATGCGGCTTTGACTTTGAAGGCGTACAGGACATCCAGTACAACGCCCCCGAAAAGCAACACCCCTCGAGCCGGGCACGATAATATAGAACATTCTGGGAGCAGAGCTACGATTGGGTTCAATGATAACAAGGATGCCAATGGGAACAACAGGAACAGCGCTACGAGTTTGGCCACAGGGCTTGACTGCCTCGGGAAGAGAAAGAGGGCGGAATTTGGACAACTTCTGAACATGGCTATCACTCCAGGTAGTGATGTGGCCGTCGTTGCAAATGTTGGAAATAGCTCACCAGATACGAACGGAGGCTCAAATCTGGCACACGAATCAGAAACGTCACCCTTGAAACGCCAGAAGGCCGCCGCTCCTACAGTGGTCGATGATTACTGGGGACTTGACAGTTACTTCGACCAGGTCACAACTCCGTACAATCCATCCAAGCCGCCGACAATACTTGGCACGGCGGACTCGAACCCAACGTCTGATGCAAACTTACTAAATGTGTCCAACGCCCTGCGACAGCCATGGGAAATGCCAGCTTCGTCCTGGAACGATCTATTCCAGTCACTGACCACCAACGATGATGATCCTACCTTTGAGATTAATGGAACCACAAGCGCATATCCAATTGGGGAATCGACGGAGGCATTATCAGATATCGGAGCACAACATGATTGGGGGTCAACAATGTGGTGGGATCCTTCATTGCTCTTTGACACAAGGCTTGAAAACTCGGAGCTTGATGGTGATGATCTGCCTACATCATCTCTCAATTTGTCCCACGAGGTCAACGAGGGGTCCTTCTGACAGAAGAGTAATCCCCGAGGCGATCTTCAGTGCCAAGCATTTTCTCCTCCCAAGATTACCAAACGCTGCGGAAATCTGGGTCCTCTTTCAAGAAGCACCGAGTAGCTCTTGCGTCTTGTGCTGGTGTGCATTTGACGCCCTTGCTATGGCACGATGGCTTTGTCGATACTAACGGACGTTCTGCAATGACTGACAGAAGGCCGGAGAGCGTGGCATCTTCAATGGCTTTTGTTCTCTATCTACGATATCCCTCCTCCTACCCGGAGTGGCATCTTGCAATCTACCTCACAGCTTTCAACATCAGAAAGACTCAGCATCAGCGCTGGGTCGTCGAAAACCTCTGAAAGTTTCTAGCTCTCAGCCTCTTGCCGTTGTGCATTGTCTGTAGCTTTGACGTTTCCAGCGCCTCCTTCTCGGCTCTTGGAAGCGCTCAGATATATCCTTGTTGCGCTACAAAGTAAAGTAATTGATATCACGCCGGTGCCAATGGCTCTCCCCGCAATCACATTGCGAGCAACTTTCGAACCTCTCTCTCCATTGAGCCGCCATTGCCGAGGCCTTTTCTCATCAAGCTTGTCAACACAGTCGAATAGTTCACAGAAGACACTTCCCGCGCCGGAAAGATATGGTAGGGTGTCCCACGCAAACCTCTACCTCCGATGAAATCGCCTCCATCCGATGCTTCTCCGGCATCTTAGCGGCTTCCGCACATGCGAGCGCTTTCCACAGCGGTTTAAAATAGTACAGTAATGCTGGAAAAAGGAGACACCAGAGGTGCCGGCCCTTCCTCATCGCGCCTCTCCAGATGCCACGCTGCCGGAGATGGGTCCGGTTTCCTGGTCCCCGCATTTCGTACTCGGAGCTGCTTTGCTTTGCTTTTTTTATGACTTGGATGGGAGGGAGGGGGTTTTGTATGTCGGGCTTGTAAAGGATAGCTTTGCAATCGGATCGGCTGCCGGGTGGATGATGGGGTGATTGTGGCAAGTCGCATGATGGGGCAGTTTTGATGTGGTCGGAGACAGACTCGGTAAAACAATGGCTTGGTTAGAGCTCGACTGGACGATGAAAGAGATGGCGCGATGGTGAGCACTCGGGGTGACTACTTGGGCAAGATGCGAAGTCCGGCTTCAGAAGTAAATCTATACCTAATGTTGATCTATGCAGAATGTATAGTCCTAAGCTCCACGCCGGCATACATGACCTCCGCACCCGACGCCTTGATCTCATCCTCAATATCCATCAAGCGGTTATACTTGGCGACCCGCTCCCCGCGGCACGGACTTCCCGATTTCAAGTGGCCCGTCCGCAACCCCACGGTCAGATCGGCAATGAAGTCATCCGTCGTCTCGCCGGATCGATGCGAGACGAAGACGCTCCAGCCCAGTTCGTATGCCATTTTTGCCCTAGATTGTTTTGCTCCGTCAGTCGGGTTCAGGATGCGTTTGTCAACCAACGCATTACAGTCAGACAAACGTACGCAGATAGTGCTTCGGTGATGGTACCGATCTGGTTGATCTTCAGCAAGAGAGAGTTGCACGCGGTTTTCTCCTCGGCCTCTTCGATGCGATCGACGTTGGTGGCCAGGAGATCATCGCCCACGAGCTCGACGGGACACGTCTTGTTGAACGCCGTCCAGGACGGCCAGTCATCCTGTGCGTACGGGTCTTCGAGCAGGATGATCGGGTACCTGTCCAGCAGTTGGCGGTACAGATCCCCTAGCTTCTCGCCCGTGTATTTCTCCGACGTCTTGCCTTTGAAGCCGAGGTCGTACTCGCCGCCCCGGTAAAACTCGCTGGAGGCGGGATCGATGGCGAATTTGATCCGGCCCGTGTACCCGCAGTTCTCGACCGCCGTGACGAGCAAGTCGAGTGCCTCGTGAGGCTGGGAAATCGGCGGCGCGAAGCCCCCCTCGTCGCCGATACCGGTTGCTGGGATCGGCTTTTCAGTCAAATGGATATACGACTTGAACGTTCTAGCGGCAACACTATCATTGATTTACCTGTTGGTCCGAAGGCCTTGGTCAGCACCTTCTTGAGCTCCTGATACACTTCGGAGCCCATCTGGACTGCGTGGGCCATTGACCGCGCGCCCACGGGAGCGATCATGCACTCCTGGAACGCCATGGTGTTGCCCGAGTGCACGCCGCCGTTGAGGACATTGAAGAAGGGCACGGGCATGACGTAAGGTTTCTTGGATCCCGATTCCTCGCGGAGGAACTCGTACAGGGGCACTCCCCGCGCGGCTGCACCGGCTCTCGCGCACGCCATGCTGATGCCGAGGATGGCGTTGGCACCGAGTTTGCTCTTGTCTTTGGAACCGTCCACTTCGCGCAGCAGAGCGTCGATTTTCTTTAGATCTGTGGCAACGTCGAGCTTCGCTTTGATGAGAGCGGGTCCGAGGACGTTTTCGACGTTGTGGACGGCCGTCTCGACACCTTTGCCCCCATAGACGTCTTTGTTGTCGTCGCGAAGCTCGATGGCCTCGTAGTCACCTTTGGATGCCCCGGATGGTACAAGTGCTTGGAATTGACCTGGAAAGTAATGAATTAATAAAACATCACTGATATTGGACGATTGCCGAGTTCCTTGCCTTTGTCAGTGGTGATTCGTACTTGCACCGTAGGGTTTCCTCTCGAATCCAATCTCTGGGCTGCTTTGACCGCGGAAATCATTTTGCAAAAGTCTTGTATTTGGTTTGAGTATTGTATTTAGACTGGTGGAGAATGAGGGAGTATGCAAGCTCTATATAAAAGGTGAGTGCCTATGACGAAATGTTCGGAATTTTACCGGTAGTGGAAAAACATGGTAATCAAAAATATAGCTATTCACGTATGAATGATTAATATAAGGAAGCTTCGAACGATGGCGGTAGATGAGAGGTGGAATATCGCTAGTACCGTTATAATCATGGTGGACCGTGATTTAGCGTACGGTCGAAGTCGCGGCCGCTAGAAGAAGGGTCCTTGGTATCACCGGACAATGCTCCAAAGACATCCATCTCGAAACCGGGGTGTTCCTACGAGTTCTTGCCGGCGTACCTCAAGACGACGACAGATGTAACTACTTTCTCCGCCATCTCTATCAAAATCGCATCAACAGATTACCGTTCGTCTAAGCTAAAAACATAGTTGGGCCTTATCAGCACAAGCTGCTTCAGGGTCGGAGTTTTCGCCTAAAGACAAAGACTGAAGTCGAGTTTGGATAAATCTTTAATGATAGAAGCTCTTTCAACGTGTGGCCTGTGCCCCAGAATTCGGTACCAATTAGAGTGATTCGCAACGAAATTCACATTTCAGAAAGGCTGGTTCCATCTCGCAAATTCTCTTTGGTGGCAGTGTGTCTACGAGTTCGATACCTGTCGTGTTTAGTCGACATGAGCACCCCCTCAGAATTTTTGTGTCCTCGTTGCTGACATACGCTCTCCGTGATATCAGAACAATATGAGTGCATGGGGAACGAAAATTTTCGAGCTCTGTTATCAATACTCATCAACAAATTTTTCACTGGCTAACCAACTCACGTTTTCATCATAGTCGGAGGTGGCATCGCGGGCTCGGTGTTGGCCTCGCGTCTTCACGCTCACCTACCTTTCTCCTCTATACTCCTCATCGAAGCAGGGTCTGACCTTATCAATCATCCTTTAATTACCGATCGCAGGAATGCCGGAGAACTGGTCGGCTCAGAACTGGACTGATACTACTCTACCGTCCCTCAAAAGCATTTGAATAACCGAGTGTGCCCTAATCATGCGGGTAAAGTCCACGAGGTAGTGTCAGCCATCAATGTCTGTCCGATAAAAACTTTTCACCAAGTCTAAGAAGGCAAACGCTGACATTTCCGAGCGGAGCCTGCTCGACTCGAGACAATGCTAGCGATTATGGTGCTTGAACGAAGCTTGTGAACGACTTGAGATGGAGCTACAAAGGCCTGCTCCGATAATTCCGGAGGACTGAACACTGTCATTCGGCTGATTTGGATATGAACGAGCATAGATACAATGGTCGAGTTCACACGCAGTCAGTAACATCCAGTGGTCGACACTACCATTTATGCGAAAGGACCAAAGCTGCCTGGGAGTCGTGCGCTGTAACTTTAAAAGTCGACGCGGACTCAGGATCCCCCCAAGGCATGGGCGAGCTCGTAGAGAATCTCAATGATGGAGCACGACAGCGTACCAGCACAATTCGCCCTTTGGCTAGTGTTCAGGTCATGGCGGAGGGAAGAAGATGCTGGAATTTATAATGGACACTGAAGAAGGACAAGCGATGGTGGAAAAAGAGACCATCGCTGGAGGTTGGACACCGCTGACCTCAAATGCTTCGGATAGCAAGCTTGATGAGCGCATCAGGAAGCACGAAAAGTAGGTTGAAGATTGCCTCTGAGATCATGAGAGACTCGACAGGAAAAGTCACGCCAATGCACAGAACCCTACACCATCCCGCGGACACAGCAGCGATGGGCAAGGTGGCGGATAGTAGTCCATGCGTCTATGGGGTTCAGGCGTCGCGAGTGGTGGATGCCAGTACTCTGCCGCTGCCCATCTCAGGACACTATCAGGCCTATATTAACGCATTGGCGGAGCAAGCAGCAGACCTTATTGCGGACAGCTTCTCGTCTCGGACTGTTGAATCGTATGTACGCTCTTTGCGCCTTTCAGTCGAGGGGCAGCACTCTGGCCCAATATTCTTTCTGCTCGTCTGTAAGTAGATTATGTCTTATGTACCTCTGTAGCCTTTGATGTATGTTGACGTGCAGGTGCATAATATTGGATTTGGAGACGCGGAATGATGTCAGAGGCGGCAGATGCCGAGGCGGAAGCTTTTGGTGTGGGGAAAGGCCCAACGGGCACCGAAGGAAAGGATTTCCTCATCGATCTTCATTTAAAATTGCTTTACCTAGATAGGAGCAGTCCAGAAAAAGGTCAAAGACTTTTGCGACATCATCATGATAATCATAATGATGATGATGATAGTATGTAGGTAATCGTAGTCCGACTATTCGCTCCGCTCATAGTAATCCTCAACTCAAAGACGCACTAGTCTCAAAGACGCGAAAATCTATTATTCCTTTCTAATTCTACATAGATCTCGTTCTATGACTTAAATCCTAATAAATACGTCTTAATATATATGCACTAGCTTTTTATAAATCATAATCCAGCTTTCGAATATAAGCCTTAATAGTCTTATTGATCTTTTCTTATTAAATTTCCTTAGCCCGAGTAACTCGCTTTAGAGCCTTCTCCGCCTTTTCTATAGCTATTTCTTTTATCACAGTCAGAGATTTACGTATTTGATCTACTAATATCTATTCTCTCTTCTAAATAATCGTCTTAGAAAGTATCTTATATGCCTACTTAACTACGGCCTCTTTATAAATAGCCTTAATATTTTACTCGATAATTTGTCTCGAGTAGCTATTAATAATAGATCCTTTTATAAACCGAGCTAATAGCTGTTATATGCCCTTTGAAATGATAAAAGTCTAAGTAGTAAGTAGTTCTTTAAATCATTAATCGTATTTAATAACGTCTTCAACTTTATGGAGGATTCTAACAAGAACGAGAGGTATAAATTCGTCTAAAGTTATAGCGCGGGGTGTCAGATTTCTGATTTTTTCGAGTACTACTTTAGAGTTATAGGGTATAAAATTAGTCTTTTAAAAGGTCGAATATATAGTACTAGGTGTAAAGATTTAGGTTTTTATTTAATTAAATGCTGCGAGAAAGTCGAGTCTGTTAAAGTCGCTACTCTCAAGGCGTATAGCCGAATCTATAGCCTCCGTATGATAATGTTTAAATGATTAAAAGTATTTTACATCTAATAACTATGTAATATGTGTAGAATACGAGGGAAGTATAAATAAGTTAATCTTTAATTGTTAAATAAATGTATAAAATTCGTAGGTGTAGTGAGATCCGAAGTCGTCTAGAATTAAGACCCTTTATTCTCCCACTTAACGACGATAAGAAAATATATTAAAATGCAGTAGCTAGTCGTATATCAGTCGATTATTTAAATATTCAGTAGGTGAAACGGCCAATACAGTGTCCGGAGGTAAGTCGTTTTTACCCCATTTATATAGAATATAGATATCTTTTAGAATTACGAATGAAGGCACACTTCAGCCTTCGGCGCTGATACATTTTACGGATATAATATAATCACGATTATCTAGATCTACGAACCGTAGAGGCTTACTTTTTATTCAAAGTAATAATATAATAGACGATTTCACAGTTAATTCGAAAGCTAGTCTCGTCTATATTTTAAATATTCTGATATTATATACCCTTCTCTTTATAGCCCCGTCGAAATTTCTTATACGTTACGCGTATACTCTTAATATCGTACGTATTCTTACACTCGACATTAAGAGGTTTTTGCTTTCGTTTATAGTATTTAAAATATCGTTTTATAAATCGTATAGTCTAATCTTTATCGAGTGATTTAGAGGGATAATACGAATCTAAAGCGATTTTTAGAATATACTTAATAGTATTCTAAATATAATTTAGTCGAAGTAAATACTCGATATTATTTAGACGATTAATATAGTTATATAGCGACTATTCTTAAGTTATAATAAGACGTATATAGATAGATATTTAAGTACTTCTAGAAGCTTATCCCCGAAGTCGTCTTTATACCTGTCGCGATTTGAGATTATAATACTCTACGGCCGCTATAGCGCTATGAAAATAATTATTCTTATACTCATCAATAGCCTTTTAAACGAGTTCCTCTTACTTAGAATAAGATATAGATATGATATAGTGGAATAATGATAGATTATAATATAGGGTGTCAAATCGCGAAAAAACGCGTCTTTAAGACTAGTGCGTCTTTGAGTTGCGGACTACTATAAGCGGAGCGAATAGTCGGACTACGATTATGCTATACGGAGGTCGGCACCAAAAGTCCTAGACATGCCAAGACAAGGGTCTAGGTAGGGCTGAGTGCTTGGCATACTTCCAAATTTCATGAATAGCATTATTATTCTTTATTTTAATAAGTATTAGTACTCTATATAATAGCGACGTAGTATATATATACGAAGTGTATATATATGAAGTATATATATGCGAAGTATATATATAATAGCGATATTAATAGAATATATAATAGTAATAATATTAAAGTATTAATTATAGCGTAAAGAAATAGAGAAAGAGTATAAAGACTTCTAATATATAAGTCTTATTTATATAATATAATAAATAGAAATCTTCTTACTATTCTCTATCTTAATTATCTTTTATTAATATATCTAATACTTAAAGTATTAATTATAATAATAAGACTTAAATTTAAATACTTATTAAGTCTTATTAACTATAAATAAAATATTATATTACTCGAAAAGATATATTAAGAACTTATAAGAAAGTCGAAAGATAATAACTATATTATTAAAATTATAAGTTTATTTAAAAGGGGATTTAAAAGTAAATAGAGTAAATAGAGTAAATATCGAGATATATTATAAAGGTAATACGTCTTAAAGATAGTAATAAGTATAGAAAAGATCGTAGGGGAGGTGATATACGATTATACGACTCCGCCGAGCGAGCTAATGAGTATATACGCAATTATATAAAGCATTATCGTTAAATAAATGTAACTATACAGAAAATGCCAAGAATGCCAAGAGTGCCAAGTATTTTAGCGCTGTCCAGGACTTTTGGTGCCGACCTCCGTATAAAGCTCCAAATCAAAAGATGAGCGTTAAATGTCAGTTCACAGGAGCCAGAGCGTGGCGACAATCTAATTTCCGCCACACCACATTCCTTTTCTTAGTGGCGGGGTGGTGTGGTGTGGTGTGGTGTTTCATCATCGCGCTTACAGATGCGCCAATCAGACTTGTCACAATGCTTCACAATCGATGGACCTCTTACAGCAAATGCAGGGAGCCTTGAATCTCTCTTTTGGGAGAGAGTTGGCGATTATTACGCGACGGAGAGAGATAGAGAGCATGCATGTTCCAGTGTGATGCGATGGGAAAGGTATTCATTACATCAAACGTTAACATTGCCGAAGTTGGGGAAACAACTCCCCGGGGAAGATTGTGCGGAAATTCGCCCGGCTGAAAAAAGAGCATCACCTGACAGCCCCACCGATCGGTGTTGGCCGGAATGGGTAGAAAGCTTGGCCCCCTTGGGGTTTGCTTGGGGGGTTAAGGTACCTGAGGCGGTAGGTATAGATTTCCCCTGGCGAGCCACAGGATGACCCCGAATGGTTGATTAGCTGCGCCGGACCAGACCGAGCTTTAGGCTTGGATTTGATCTAGATCATTGGCCCCCCTGCTTGTAACCGTCCCCCACCCCCTGTAAAACTCATTCCAAGAAAAATCCTGCTTTGATCCAAACATGGACTGGCACCAGCTGAGTCGCCGTCGATTGATTCGTTGAGAAGCGGCCAAGCGATGTATGCAATCTACCATCATTAATCTCAATTTTTCCACCGAACTCTTTTGCCCGCCTGATCCCCCCCCGCCACGATTTTCTTTTCCTCCCAAAAACAAAAACAAAAACAAGGCCGCTGCGCTATTTTAGCTTCACGCCATCACTGCCGCCCACTCTCGACCATTAAACATATCGCAACATATCTCCAGCTCCCCCTTTCTCATCACCTGCATCCTACCTACAGCATTCTCTCTCACTACACCTTCTACTCTGTAAAGCGTTCAATTGTCACCTCTGACAAGGCATCTACCACACACATCAACTCAACCAGTACAGATACAAACACCATGCAGCGCTTCATTCTGACCGCCGTCCTCTTCGCCGGCCTCACTCTCTCCCAAAACCTCACCCAGATCCAGGACCTTCCACCTTGCGGCGTATGTGCTTCGTGAATGCGGACATACCCTTACAGCGTCATGGCCATTTGCTAATGAGCAATCAGCAAACATGTATCAACAACATGTTAGGCAAGGCATCGAGCTTAGGATGCGGAACATCAGACTATGCGTGCCTCTGTAAGAACATGAACTTCGGCTTCGGCGTGCGCGATTGCTCCGTCCCCGTGTGCGCGGCGGCCAAACCACCGGTCGACCCAAGCAGCATCATCTCCATCGGAATGGACTTCTGCTCCGGTTCGCCCAACCCACTCCCTGACCACCGTAGACCCTCACTGACGGTGTGCTACAGAAGTGTCAGCAGCGGCCACCACGGGCTCAGCCACCACGACCGTCGCACAGACCGTCCTCACCGGTACCACCGCCGTCTCAGCCTCTCCCGGAAGCGCCACCGCCGGCGCCGTGGCAACTGGCAGCAGCAACGCAACCTCGAGCGGCACGAACGGGACGTCAAGCGCGGGCGGTGCGGGCACGAACGGGACTGCGAGCACCAACGGCACCTCTGGAGGAGTGCTCGGAGGAGGAAAGGTCGTCACCACCACCAACAGCCTCGGCAGCACTACCACGTCCACGGTAAGCCTGACACGTCCACTCCCATGCCTGCCGTGTTCGATACTGACAAATCCCCCAGATGACATCCTCCTCCTCGACCAGCCAATCCAGCGGCGGCAGCTCGTCCACCTCGAGCAGCGGCACCGAGTCATCATCCTCCGGCACCGGCACCGCCACCGGGGGCTCCACCTCACCCAGCGCAACCAAGAAATCCGAGGCCGGCCACGTCGCGGCCGGCGCTTTCGTCGGTCTCGCCGGTCTCGCCGCTTACGTGCTGTTGTAGTACGGCCTTAGATCGTTTCGCGGACAAACAAAACTTTCAGCGTGCAAATCGGCGGATTTTGGAAAAAAGTCGTCGTTGCGTGCTACTTCTCACTCTTTGCATAAGATCGATACCCCTCCCGCATCCACTTCCTGTCATGTCACGTCGCATACGAGGAATTTCAAAAATACCCTTCGGTTGAGCCGAATTAGAGAAAGAAAGAGGAGGAGCTTGCTTAATATGGATTTCAGCGTTCAACATGGCTATGCTCCGTCTTTTTCAAACCCCAACCCTAATATCTGCCTCCTGTACCTACTCTGTCTGCTTGGCGGTACCAATGAACAAAGATTGCTTTTTGTTTTTTTTTTGCATTAACCAATTGCTTTGACGAGGAGGGTGCACAAAGTGATTCGATAATAGTTGTCTTCGTACTCATCCATGCAACGACCCCTTACACTCATGCAGCGCTTGCTCCCCAACCCGGTCCTTTCTCCGCGCCGTTTCGTCCACCCTCGTAGCTGATTGATACGCACGCTCCTTTTCGGTTTTTTTTCGAACGGGATCAGGCAAGGTGCTTCAGACGATCTCGATGCGGTCACGGAAGTTGTAGCACAGTCAGTCTGCTCTTCATGCAGCACGAACGGTAGCGACATGGTTTGACAGTGGATCAATCAATCAATCAATCAATCAATCAATCCAAGCCTCCGAGTTTTTTCGCTGTATGACATTGCGTTTATTCAGATATCCAGGTCAGTGTCTACGTGTCACGAGACCCTCTCCTGCACAGCCGACGCGGTTCGACTTTGACTTCCTGCCGAGAAAAAAAATACACGCCATCAGCCGTACAAGCGAGGCGGGGGGCCAGAGAATGCGAAAGCGTTTGATGCCGGGCTTCCTGGTTTTCGAATCACTGTGGGTGATAGGGCGTGCACAGTGCGTAGGATTGGTTCACGCAAAGATCGGGGTGGATGACGGAGTCCTGGTTTCGGAAGTCTGTTGTGGCAACAGGATTGCAAAAGCTTTCGGTGATCATGGGTCAGCTTTTGTAAGATTGGTTTGGACTTTGCCAGATTGGGAAGGGTTTGCCGAGATGTGTTTGCCAGGCCCTGTTTGAACGTAGTCTGCTACTCCACGACGCAGAAGCTATCTTCGAGCCGCTCGGCGATTGGGTAGGACAGGATCTGAGCTGAGCATTCGACGGGTCGTGGCTTTCCCTTTGTTGCTCGCGGGATTTTAGCATTCTGGGCAATTGGACAGCGGCAACTGCTTTTGACTTTGACAATTCGCATAGCTTGATGTTCTGCAATATTTCCAAGCTATCATCTTCTCCCCCGTCCTCTATCATCATCATCCTCATCACTCGAATCTCGAAACCCACCCTCCAACTCACGACTTAATCTCGTGTCACCCTCCGTATCCGAGTCCACAGCCACATCATCTCTTCCTCGAATCACCTCGTCGGAGAGATTGTCGAATCCTTCTTCTAACTCTTCATCGCCGAGCAAGCTATTCGAGCTGGCGCGTCGCTTTGAGCGGCCGACAAGGGCTTGAATGCGAGAGAGGAGGCGGGTGGTGAGGGATGGATTGTTGGAAGATGATTGCGAGGAAGGTAGCAGGCTGTAGGAGGAGCGCGCGCGGAGGTGGCGGTAGTAAGGGAGGACGAGGTAGGTTGTCAAGGCGTAGAGAGCAAGGGCGAAGATAGGCGGAAGAAGTACTGACTGTCAGGAGTCAGTCAAAAGCGTTGGACGACGAAGGGGAAAATGTAGTGTACCTTCCAAGTGAATGCGCCCATGATGTATACGTGGTTGAAGGAAGGTTACTGCGTTGTACCATGGACGAAGGATGTTGGTCGGCTGATAGGATTCCAGGCTAGCGGACGCCTTAGATGGGCAGAGCTGCAAGCATGCTGACAGGCGTTGCTGAAATAGTTACTGTATAAGCTGTGCTATAGGGTCAGGACATCTCCAGGAAGTAGGAGAAGAGGGATCGAATGCACAAACTTTTAAATAGGGTGTGTATATGTAGCTAGGTGGAGGGACGGCGTGAGCGGTGGTGGAGACTGGATTGGAGATAACTTTGTGTGGCCCGCCTCGAAATGCCTCGTGTTTTGCGGCTGCCGTAGTATCTCACTAGCGCGAAAGGGATCCCCTATGCGGCAACGAAAGATTACAAGGGAACAACCTCGCCGTCTTTCACTTTGTATAGAGGGGAGTAATAACTCAACGTTGAAACACTTCACAGCCACTAGTACCCTTCTTAGCCTTCGACAGGCTTGTATTTGCTTTCTCTTCACCTTTTGGCGTTCGCATGCTTCTTACTGCCATGCAACGATCCTTGGCAAACAATCGCCCCCTGCCGATTCTCTGACGGCACGTCGACCGAGGTTGATCACTGGTCCAACGTCCTAATTACAGAAACCCCAAGATCCTTACACTTATTGAGCGACCAAACGGTCGAGTCGTCGAGCTGGAGGACATCCGACTCCCACGGCGCCTGGGAGCGAAGAACGGGCGTTGTCTCTAGGAAATGCCTTCAACCAACGCACCCGTTGATAGCAAGTCGCGGCAGTCTTCAGGAGGGAGATCATTTTTTGGGCGGAAGATACACAAAGAGAGGTCGCAAGACTCGTATAGTCCGGATGATGGCGGTCCAGTCCTGGAGGTGCCCAGTACCACCGGCAGCGCCAATGGATCAAGATCTTCGAGATACTCGCACAGATCGCAAATGCCGTCTGAGGACGCAGGGCAAGACGGAGATAACTTGGGCTTGTCGATGACTGCTGGCGTTATCACGTCAATACCTTATGATAGTGTATCACCGGGTGGGAAGACCCCTATTTCCGTGGATTACTTGCCGAAGAACGACATGAGTCTTCCCCGGAAAGAGCCCTTACCGCATCACTTGGGCAAAGGAGGCAAAGACTTCCATCAGTATCCTTCATTCAACCCCTCAGAAGCTACAAATGGTTCCTCACATCCTACTGGACCGCGACCCCCACCTCATTCATCCGCTTCACAATCATCCTTGAAGCCCTTCAACGGCATTCTTCCTACACGCGACAGCAGTCGCAAACCCATACCAACTGACTCCGGAAGCATCTACAACGAGTCACACAGCACCTACAACTCCAACTCCACAGGCGACACAGCTTCCAATCACCGAAACTCATTCGATCAAATGAGCGTCCTCTCCGCAGCTTCGTCTGTTACACGAGGCTCCAGCATCTTCTCCTCCGACAACTCATCACGAACTGCTGTGCAGGAATCGCGACCAAGTACATCATCTCGGGGCTCACACCACCATAACGCTTGGGCACCGCAGCAACCCTCGGGTTTTAGCTCCACTACATCATTCAATCCAGACGGTTTCCACTTCCCACGGCCCACTGATGATCGAATCATCGAAAAGCAGTTTGTCGACATGATGAACAAGCGCAACTGGCAGGCTATGCCTGAACAAGCGCGGCGGCAGATGATGGCCTACCCTACAAGTAAAAAATGGCAATTAGTACATCAAGATCGGATGGTAGAATGGCAAGGAGAGCAAAAGAGAAGGACTAATGCCCGACAGACGATGCTTAGCCACGATGGTTCTCAAGGCATCCTGACAAGAGCAGACGAGGAGGGAAGCCCCGAATGGTATGTCAGGAGGGTCATGAATGATACAATAACGCCGAAGCAACTGGGTAGCCTGAGTGTCAGTTTGAGGACACAACCGATCAGCTGGGTCAAGTCATTCGTCGAAGCGCAGGGTCAAGTGGCCTTGACAAATGTTCTTGCGAAACTCAATCGACGACAGGGCCAAGGGCCGGCTCCTGCTTCAGGTTCTACAAGTGACAAAGATCTGGATCGCGAGTACGACATTATCAAATGTCTCAAAGCTTTGATGAACAACAAATACGGTGCCGACGACGCTTTGGCTCACCAACAAGTCGTTGTATCTCTCGCAACCTCCCTGATCTCACCACGGTTGACTACTCGCAAATTGGTCAGCGAAGTCTTGACGTTCCTATGTCATTGGGCAGAAGGAGAGGGGCACCTGAAGGTGCTCCAAGCTATGGACCAAGTCAAGAGCCACCAGGGCGAGAACGGGCGTTTCGATGCCTGGATGCGGATAGTGGAAGTCACAATAGATGGTAGAGGCAAGATGGGCAGTCTTGTGGGTGCCAGCGAAGAGGTCCGTAGTGGAGGCATAGGCATGGAGAATCTCCTCATGGAATACGCACTTGCTACACTCTTCCTAATGAACATGGTTATCGATGCGCCGGAGCATGATTTGCAGCTGCGATGCCACATCAGGGCTCAATTCACGTCTTGCGGTATTAAGAGAATCCTAAACAAGATGGAAGACTTCCAATACGAGGCCATCGACAAACAGGTTGAGCGATATCGAGAAAACGAGGCCATTGACTACGAGGACCTGCTTCAGCGCGAGAACAGCAGCATGAAAGATGATATAGACGCAGAAGTCAAGGATATGCAAGATCCGTTGCAGATTGTGGATGCCATACAGTCAAAGGTACAGGGAAGCCGTGCGCAGGACTACTTCCTTTCTGCCATGCAGCATATGTTGTTAATCCGAGACAATGATGGAGAAGATCGATTGCGGATGTTTCAACTAGTCGATGCCATGCTCAGCTATGTTGCTATGGATAGGAGACTGCCAGACATGGACCTCAAGCAGAGTCTCAACTTCTCGGTTCAAAGTTTGCTGGATAAGCTGCACACAGACTCCGAAGCGCGCCAGGCATTGGATGAGACTACCGAGGCGAGGCAATTGGCGGACTCTGCTATGGCTGAGCGTGATGAGATGAAGGCAAGAATAGACATGGGAGCCGATGGACTGGTAGCGAAGTTGCAGAAGCAATTGGAAGAGCAGACCCAGATAATAGAGCTTCAAGGACGGCAATTCCAGGCCTTGAAAGCCGAGCTTGCTGATCTCCAACGGATTCGCGCTGGAGAGTTGCAAAGGAACGAGCTGGAGACAAGAGAGCTATACCTTATGCTTCGTGATGCCCAGGATTTCGCTGCTTCTGTGGCTAAGAAGGGCGTCCCTGAGGCGCTTGCTTCGACGGACCCGAAGAAAATGCAGGGCATCTTAGACCGCGATACTCTCATGTCTCGATTGGAAGTGCAACTTGAGCGGGCGAAGACGCAATGCAAGCTGGAGGGCAAAGTCTGGCAGCAAGCTGGTCCTTCTGACAGGTTAAGGGAACTGCGCGAGCAAATGGACGGCGGTGAATCGAGTCCCTCAGAAGAAGACTTCTCAAGCAGGGTGACGAGGCAATTCAGTCCTGGTCCCCTTGCTATGACCTCGCGGAGCAAGATACTCAAAGGTCCAAGGCGCGCTGCTGCCGATGCTTTGGCTGCGAGCGAAGAACAGGCCTACCGGATGTCGGGCGAAGGCGATGCAATCATCTATGAGAAACCGCGGATTATCGAGATGAGCCGGCCCAAGATGAGCACCAAACAAGCCACAGGGCTCTTGGGCGAAATTGCTGCCAAGGTTCGCAGGTTCGATGCAAGCGACGACGATGATGTCGACGGCGACGGTATTACCACTGGACCTTCTCACCCAAGTCTTGAGTCTGACTCGCCCAAGACTCCTATCGATGAGATTCCGCCTCCGCTTGAGAAGTCCAAGGAAATGCCACCACCTCCGCTACCCACAGCGACCATAATGCCCGGTTTCGAGATGGGTCCCCCGCCTCCACCACCGCCTCCTCCACCGCCTTCGCTACTTCCAATGGCTCCTCCAGGACCGTTCCCCTCAGTACCAGTGGCTCCTCCGATGCCTCCCCCGTCCATGCCGGGCTTCTCTTCAGGCGCTCCCCCCCCCCCCTCCCCCAATGCCAGGCACACCTCGGACAGCGACATCGTCTGCCCGGACTTCAATGGGTCCACCTCCCATTCCCGGTGCGCCACCTACGCCAAGTGCACCTCCTCTTCCGGGCCCACAAAGAGGCGGCTACTTTCCCCAGGCCCAGTACAACCCAGCACCCACTTTCGGGCTACCCTTCATTCGTCCGAAGGGGAAGCTCAAGGCTATACATTGGGACAAAGTCGATGCTCCTCAAGTCACAGTCTGGGCTTCTCATACTCCAACCCATCAGGCTAAAGAAGAGAAATATATGGAGCTGTCAAGGAAAGGTGTTCTAGATGAGGTCGAGAAGCTCTTCATGGCCAAAGAGATCAAAAAGATTGGTGCTGCCAAGGGCGGAAAGTCTGACAAGAAGCAGATTGTTGGAAGTGATTTGAGGCAAAAGTTCCTCATTTCATTATCCAAGTTCTCGACGCAGTCTGCCGACGAGATCGTCCGCATGATATTACACTGCGATAAGGATATGTTAGATAACCACGTGGTCATGGAATTCTTACAAAGAGAAGACCTGTGCGTAGTACCTGACAACACCGCCAAGCTCATGGCTCCTTACAGCAAGGACTGGACTGGACCAGACGCAGAGCGGACGCAAAGAGAGCAGGATCCGAGCGAGCTCACGAGGGAAGATCAGATATACCTGGCGACTGCATTCGAGCTCCATCATTACTGGAAGTCAAGAATGAGAGCTTTGTCACTGACGCGCACTTTTGAAGGCGAATACGACGAGATATCAAGGCATCTGAAAGAGATCGTCACTGTCTCCGAGTCTCTGCGTGACTCGGTTGCCTTGATGAATATTCTCGGCCTTATCCTAGATATTGGTAACTACATGAACGACTCGAACAAGCAAGCCACTGGTTTCAAGCTGAGCTCGCTCGCGCGCCTAGGGATGGTGAAAGATGAGAAGAACGAGTCCACTTTTGCAGATCTTGTGGAGCGAATAGTTCGAAAACAATACCCACAATGGGAAGGCTTTGTCGACGACATCGGCGGTGTAGTCACTGTGCAGAAACTTAACGTCGAACAGTTGCGCCTGGACGCAAAGAAGTATATCGACAACATCAAGAACGTACAAATGTCACTTGACTCCGGCAATCTCAGCGACAGCAAAAAGTTCCATCCACAAGATCGTGTCAATCAAGTTGTACAGCGGTCCATGAAGGAGGCCCGACGGAAAGCAGAGCAGATGCAATTGTATCTTGATGAGATGAATCGGACTTACGACGACATCATGACGTTTTATGGCGAGGATAGCACGGACGAGAATGCGAGACGGGAATTCTTTGACAAGCTAGCCAAATTTGTTACTGAATGGAAGGTAAGCTTCGTGGAACCCTCTTTGTGTATGACTGTTGCTGATACCCAATAGCGCTCCAAAGAAAAGAATGTTACCATGGAAGAAACCCACAAACGAAATGAGGCGTCCATGGCCCGCAAACGTGCCAACGCCAAAGCCGTCAATCCTGCTGCCGCCAACTTTGGTGCCGATATCCCAGATGGTCCCCTGTCTCCTTCATCCACCGGCGCTATGGACTCCCTCCTTGAAAAGCTTCGAGCCGCCGCTCCCCAAGCCCGGGACACTCGTGACCGTAGGCGCAGAGCACGGCTCAAGGACCGACACCAGGTCCGCATCGCTAGCGGTCAAAGCATTCCTGACCTGGGGGAAGTATCTAACAGCGGTACTGAGAACGAGGAACCTGATAAGGCCTTGCTGAGCCCCACAGCGGCCACCGATGGAGAGGCCCCTAGCGAGAAAATGGAACCTATTAGCGAAGGCGAAGACGTCGCCGAGCGCGCCGCCAGCATGCTGCAAGGTCTTCGTAGCAATGCCGATGCCGATGCCGATAGCGGCAGACCTGGCAGCAGAGATGGCAGTCTTCGCGTAAGAAGGAGAAGAGAAAGCGCAAACGACGAGCGACAGAACCGGCGAAGTAGAAGGAGAGGGAGAGAAAGCTCGAGCACGGCTGGCGATGAAGCGGAAACGCTCAGTCCGAGACAAGAGACTCCTATACCTGAGATCCAGGAACCAGAGGGCGAGGACGGCGGTGATGAGGCAGAGGAGATGGACGTGCCGAAGACCTTCGTGGTGCCGCCGAGTCCCGAGGGAACAGCGACGAAACCGCTGCTGTTGGATGACTAAGGAAATCGACGAGTGGTGAGTTGAAAGGATTGGGGTTGTATATTGTTATATCCATTCAGCGCTTTTCGTTTCGTGTGTATAGGATACTTACTCTACTAATACCCTTTACTGTATCATGCAAGCGCTGGAGCAGATGGATCGGGGAGAGTTCGTGATAAGCGTCTCCGCACAGCGTTTGCGTTAGGCCCGTGACAGGCATGAGGCTTGTCATGGCAAGAGAGTAGTGTACGTTGGATGTTATGGCACCTCGTCACAGGTGCATCACATGAATCAAATTCACGCCCTCACCACCACATTATTGATCGTCGCCTTTTTCGGCCTTGGATTCTGACCCCCAGACAAAGTGTAGAAGAAACCGGCTTCCAACTCCAATGCGACATGTTAGGTCTCTTGAGGCAGAATTGCGATTCATGTGCGGGACTATTGGACTTGCCTCTTTTTCGCTGCTCTCTTGTATGAACTTTGTGGAAGGATATGTTCGGAGATCGTAGAGGAAGTACTAGTACGGGTTCGTTGACTTAGTATTAACGTTGGAGCAGGATTCACCGAGGAGGCAGACGGCTGCAGACCACCAATAAATACGCAATGAGGACATCGACTCCGTGATATCGAATTGACTGGACTCATTCATTGCATGGGGCAATACGAGACTCGAGAGGGCAACACTGAGGGTGTATCAATCGAGCCCAGTGCGTTCACCAGTGCTAGGTAAACAGCATGGCATTCTTGCCGCTGCTGATTTTTCTGGACTCCTACGCTCCATCATGGTTGAGATCGCTCTACTTTGCACCTTGGAATCGAAATGATGGGTGCAGCTACGGTGTTGTCAGGCTAGAAAGCCTCGCTGGACGTCGATGGATATGGTGGCCCGTAAATGGTTCCATGCATGAGGCTAATTAATGTCGGCACTGGCAAGGGGTGAAAGTGGGATACCATCTATCTCACGTTCTTCCATCGCATGAACATCATGTCCCCAACAAAAGCCGGCAGATCGACTTTACCCACTACTTGAGCATACCAATCGCCACACGCCCTTCCAGAGCGCAGTTACATGCTTCTTTCGCGCGTCTTGAGCGAGAGACAACCTTAATCCTCCCCAAAGGCTCTGTGCTTAATTCCCCCCAAAGGCTCTGTGCTTAATTCCGATCTCGCTATGCTGAATTTTGGAAGATCGAGATTGCAATCGAAAGAGTGTATCGATGCCTGTTCCGAGCACTCACACGGCTTGGACACGCACGAGATGCTTCGCATTGCAGCTGTGAATGCAATAGAACATCAACCGAATTTCGATGGTCTTCCCTACGGAGGCCATGTCCCGCACGCGTTTGGGGTCGCCACCACAGTCGATTTTTCGCCATTGAAAGTCGATGTATCTGGCCTTCCCCCCCTTCCCCCCCCCCTTTGACAGTCCATCGCAAACCGGATTCCTCAGCGCCTCGGGCATCGACCGGACGCATCGGCTATAGCACTTTCAACACATTCTCTTAGACTCACTCTTCAAAGCTGGCTTCCTGGCAAACGCATTCCATATTAGAATGAATGTTGTAAATACCGCATTGCTTACCTCGTGGCACTATAGAAGTACTTGTGATCCGAAGACCAAGCGATGGACTTTCCCTAGACGCCCAGAATCTGTCAAAGTCGATACGAGTGATCTCGTTCATGGGTGGAAGGATCATGACTGGGCGACAAATGTTCAGCTTGAAAGACTTGGCGTCTGTGCTTTGGGTATTACTGCGAATCTTCCGGGTGGCGGAGCTCGGGAGAAATGGATGACGGAGGTTGACAGCATAGAAAATAAAAAGCACCGCAACACCATTGTACCAGCGCCATTAGGAATCGAACCTAATACGAATTAAATACCCCTAACAACAAGCATTGCCCTTCCCTAAGCTCATGGCATGATCAGCTCTAGCGAGCTTGCCGAATCGAGCCCAAAAATAGGAGTAATTAGGGTGAATGTTCATATCAGTGCAACGAAAGTTCTGGATGCCATACCATCACGTTAGTGAAGTCGAGATTTCTGAGTATAAACCTCGAAACTGTATGGTGGTGACAACCAATTGTCTCAATAGTAGACTTGCAACAGGCTTGTCGTGTTCAGATCATTTTTCAAGGCAACTATTGCGTTTATTAACAAATGCAAGGTTCCGGAGCATCGGCCTCTGAAATGATATGTACGCTGGAGCCTACGAGCTGAAGACCATAGTCTCTGACCCACCTTGAACTCTATGAGTCCAGGAGCAGCATACCGCAAGTTTGCCGAGCAAACTCACATCCGTCTCGCCATCTTCTCGCGCGTTCATGATATCCTGGCTCTGCGTCAAGGGAACCTGTTGCCGCAGGCCCCCAATGTAGTCAACCACATTTGAAGGATTAGCGAAAAAGAAGCAGACTGTCTCGTTTCGTTAAAACCGGAGAGCTCTCCCGCCATCAAACAGAATCCCGCTTGTCTCTAACCATTCTCATTCTTTGGACCTTTCCCGTACGAAGTCTTCATTGGCTCTCTGCCAAGAACATTCATTACCGCCAAACACTCTTCATAGTTATGCGATCTAAGATAGGCATGGTATGTCATGGTACGGCGAAGAAGGGCGAGGTAAAGCCGGTGCAGATGGTCCTGCAGGCCGAAATGCATGGACTGCCGGTGAAGGTGGCAAAAGGGGCCAGATGTGGACCTACCCAGGAGCCTGAAGTCATTGAGCGTAGAGAAGTTCTGGTCCCTGGGGCTTCTAACCTTAGCATCAATGAGCCCCACCCTCTGCCTCACCGATCAGATCATTCGACTACGTGAACCGGTGTTGGAATTCAGCAACTCAGCCCTGTTATGCTTGGCATGAACTATAAGTAGCAGTACTCCTCCATAGAAAAACAACAAGCCGTCATCAATTTCATCAGGTTATGAGCCCGGTTTGACGAAAATCGTCGCCACGACGGCTTCCTTCGTAAGGGATTACTAAAGGTATTCTTACGTCGTACAATTAAGCTACAGAGTAGAGGTCCCGGTCGACGTCCGCTGCGTTAACACAAGTTGCAAATCACTACCTCTACGGCTTTTTCAGCGCATTTCCACACCTCTACGCATATCCTACGATACGATATCGACCACAACACTGTTAAAGGCAGAATATTGAGGGGCTTAAAGGCTTAAGCCAGGATACAGAGGAGAAAAGTGGAAGCGCACCAGACAAGGCAGCTAGGGGAGGACTCGACAGTTAGAAAGATGTCAGATGCCAGTGTCAGATGCCAGTGCCAGAGCCAACGTCGCCTGTGCCCGATGCCAGTGCCAGAAGCCCGTACATTTCGAAGTCGAATCAGTCACTCTATATACCCTACAACACGCCACAAAGTCCTCTACGGAGGTATTCGACAAGGCAGTTAGGGGAGGACAGTTTAGAAAGAGGCATGAAGGAACAGACACCCACTCAAAGCCTACAAACCAGTCACTCGATATACCCTACAAGCACTCTTCTCGATTTCCCTACGAACGAACGAGGTTTACAGGTTTAAGGAGGCTTCAAAGCAGGACACAGGCAATTGATTTATGGAGCTACAGCTACAGTCCCAGGGGGGAGCAAAGTAAATAGGTCTTCGCTGCAGGGGGAGTGTTGGAATTCAGCAACTCAGCCCTGTTATGCTTGGCATGAACTATAAGTAGCAGTACTCCTCCATAGAAAAACAACAAGCCGTCATCAATTTCATCAACCGGGGTCGTTCTTCGAACCAATCATTTCGAAGTGATTCCCAAGCCGAATTTTTCAGTTATACTCGTATGCCGCTAACGTCCATCCGGAGCAAAATGCGGCTCGTAAGAAGAAGCGGCCTTTGCATTGCTCACCGAAGACCCCGATTCCCCCGCAGCCAGCTCGTGCATCTGTAGCAGCAGACACCAGATCTGCCTCGATACACTGTCGAGAAACGATCGATCGATCGATCGATCTCAACACCGAGCAGACCGCTTCGAGCCGACCGAAGGCGGGCCAAAAGCCATTCCGGTCGTGCACTCCTTCGGCATCTCGCTGGCGAAGACGGTTGTCGCGCAGGGTTTCGTTGGAGGACGTTGCCGCTAAAGATTTGCGGGAGGAGGCAAGAATACCGTCCGGAGCGACATATACCGATGCTGGTACAGGATATCACTTGGAGTGTCGCATTTCACTCGGGAGCAAGGCTGGAATGATGTGTTCGATGGGCGATGCCATTTTCGCGCTCCCGTTTTGCTCGAGATATGAGTACGACGACTTCTGTTCTGGGAATCGGACCCTAGTGGCTCTCAAGGTTGACTTCAAAGTTTAAAGGATGGTAGGGTCTCTGGAGACATTGCCTTGAGGTCTCTTCAATCTTGTCGCAGATACAACTTCGATGACACAACTTGAGGGGGTCTTAGCCTAGAACCTCTTCATCCTTGCTCTGGATGATCATGAAACGGTACATTATCACTATCACCTGTTGTGAACGAACTATGCGTGCAGTAGCACGGCTACTTCTCCCCTCTAACCCATGCAATTCACACGCCCAGTCTATCATTACCAACATAATGCGCTCCACCAGCACACCTATACCCGCCCGCCTGCTTGATCCACTGGAAACCCTGACAACATACCCCCAAGTTCCTCAACCGGTCCTGTACCGCCTCCTCCCTCTTCTGCATGATCTGCCGGATCCTCATCCGCTCCAAGTCCGCCTTCGCCTGTTCTCGCTCCCTCGCAGCTTTTTCCTGCTCCATGCGCGCCTCTTCTTGCAGGCGCTTGAGCCGTTGAGCGTCTGCTTCGTCTCTGGCTTTCTTCTCCCGGAGGCGTTGGAAAGCGAGCTCTGCCTGATGCGCGGTCTCCCACGTGGTCGAGGCCACGTCTTCTAGGTGCCAAAAAGCTTCGTCGGAGATTTCGGGCTCGGCCTCGGCGGCGGCGATGTCGGTCTGCAGTTGGGTCCATATTGCGTCGGACACGCCGGCATCCCGTGCGGTATTTGGTTTTTGGGGCGCTGAATTTTCGCCTTCGCATTCGCCATCGGCGTCGGTATCTTGGTTTTCTGTGGGGTCAGGAGATTCATTTGAAGGGCTGGTGGTCTGGTCGGCCTGGGTCGATGATCCTTCCGTAGGAGCAGGAGGAGGCGGTGGGGCTTGAGACTGGTCGGCTGCCTTCTGGGTGGTCCTAAATGGGAGTATTGTAGGACGATTGGCGCATCGCTCTTGTCTCTCTTCCAACATGGCCTTGGTGAGGCGGAAGACGTCATCTTCAGAGATAGCCAATGCGTTTGAGGAAGAAGCATTTGCTTTGAAGACAGATCCCACCAGTGTTTTGGCTAGCGTCTTCATGTCTCGGGCATTTCCCCATGAAGGTAATGCGCTGAACTTCTTGAGGAGGCCCACCATCTTACCGTGGATCTGGCTGTCAGGGTCCGTCAAGGCAGGTGTCTGGATATTCTGCTTCTTGATCGTGAGCTCCAAAACCTCTAGGCACTGCCTCGGGCTCAGATGCTTGAAGGTGATCTCCTCTGGGAAGCGACTGGAAAGACCCGGGTTAATGGAAATCAGCTGGTTGATCTCTTGAGCGTAACCAGCGAGGACAACGAGAAGTTTGTCCATGTATTTCGGCTTCGTGAGTTGATCCACAAGCTCGTTGATCGCTTCGGTAGCAAAGTTGCCTTCTGCAAGTCGATAAGCTTCGTCGATGAAGAGGACTTTGCCCAGGGCCTTGTCGAGCTGCGCGCGGGTTTTGGGGCCAGTCTGTCCGACGTATTGGCCGATGAGATCTGAAGCGGAGCACTCAACGACTTCGACTTCAGCCAGGAAACCTAGATCGTAATAGATTTGGCCCACCTTTCGGGCAGTTGTGGTTTTTCCGGTGCCTATAGCACTGTGTCAGGATCGCTTATTTTGGAGTAACCTACAAACCTACCTGGGGGACCTTTGAAAAGGAAAGTGGTCGGTATCATGCCTCGAGGATCCAATCCCTTTGCTTTCATGCCCCGTGCAATTTGCTGGTAGCCGCCCAATTTGGCGACAATGTCTTCGCAACCCACAACGTCTTCGAAAAGCTTGTCCAAGTTAGTAGAGGCATGCGCCCCTCGGTTATAGTCTGGATCAAAGTCTTGTGGTTCAAAGACTATGTCAGATGGTCGCTCGGAGGGCTTCTTGGCGGATTGTCTCAGCTGATGTCGTTCCTTTGCAAGCCCTAGCTGGTTCTCGACCTCGCCAGCATTACCGAAATTCGGTCGATTGCGTCCTCGACTCAGTACCTCTATGGCAACAGCTTTTCCATCGTCTGTGGCCTCGAGATCTTGTGACTTCAACTTGAGATTCAAAATCTTCAACAAATCCTCGTCCGTGAAGTCTTCAAAACGGAAAGCATTTTGTATAGCGAATCTGAAGATAGAGGTCAGTGTGTGGTACTTGTTTTGTTTTCAAGTCCTCCGTGAAGGGAGCCAATATAATAGCACACAGACGAAAGGTTAGGGAACTCAGGAACACAGATGGCGCAAATCGAAGAGATATAGCCGCTCTCGGTCTCTGAAATTGCTTGTCAAGTGCAAGAGAGTGGCGTCAACACCATTTACAGACCATTCCACGACACCCATTTTGAAGATGGAAGAGGGCGAAGAGTGGGCCAAGATGGTATACAACAGCCGCAAGATGAGCGTAAGAGAGAATTCGTAGCAATGACAACTCCGAAAACAGGGCTTTGGGCCCACTGGTTTTGAGAAATGAGGGGCTTCGTGTAGACAAACCGGAAGCTTAGGGGTCGCTTACCTTCGCGAGAGGCCTGGATTGACGTTCTGGAACATCTCTACCATCTTGTCCTCGTATCCAAGTAAAAGGACGCAACGGTCTTCTCCTGGTACGCTCTGGACCTCGGCAACGATTGTATCAACAACCGCAGTTTTGAATGAGTCGGTCGTACTTCCGCCATCAGCTGTACCTGTAGAGAGCATGTACGCCTCGTCAATGATTAGCACTTTCCCCATAGCACTTGCCAAGATTGCCTTGGCGTTGGCCTCAGAATGGCCAATGAATTTGCCAATAAAGTCTGCCGGATTCTTGACGACGACTGCAGACGCGGGTAATTAGCCATGATCGATGGAGCTGGGGAATTTGCATGGCTGTAACAACCTTCGCCATTGCTGAGGATACCTAAATCAGCAAGGATCTGCCCATACAACTTAGCTACCGACGTCTTGCCGGTTCCTGGCGAGCCAACAAAGACACGGTTCAAAGACACCTCGATGGGAGCCTTCTCCTTGAGCTCGCGATAGTAGTTCTCGCTGATACGGTCAATCAGAGCTTGAAGAGACTCCTTGACAGCACCTAGGCCGATCATCTTTTGCATTTCATCCCATGCTGAACACTTTAGGATGGCTTTTGAGGGGTCTGGCCCGATAAGATCTTCTTTGTAAAGAAAGAAATCGTCTGGACGAAGTCCCCCTTTGCGCTCATGGGTCAGGCGTACAGCTTGGCGGGCAGCAATCTTGGAGTAGACTGTTTCAAGTGCTCTAGCGTTGCCAAAGCCTGGACGGCCACGCCCTCTTCCAAGACGCTTGACGACGATGCGCATGTACAGGCCATCTTTGCCGCCTTCGATCCTCATTCTCCTATTATATCGTTTCTCTATTCGCTGTTGCAACATCCACAATAGCTCATCGTCTTGATAGTCGGCAAATTGTAGAGTATGTGGCACGCGACTGGTGAGCCCGGGATTATGCTCAAAGAACTTTTCCATATTTTTGTTGTAGCCGGCGAGTATGAAGACGATCTTACCAACGTTGTTCTCCATTTCAGCAAGCAAAAAATCTAGCACCTGGTGACCAGCATTCTGGTTGTGTTCTTCTGTGAGTTGATACGCTTCGTCCAAGAAAAGAGTGCCTCCGCCTGTACCGAGAATGCCTTCTAGAATCTTTTTTGCGCCAGCAACACCATCATGAGCCAGACGTGCGCCCGTCGTTTCCACGAAAGTACTGCATGGGAGGGCTCCAAGGGATGCCAGAATTCTGGCATACAGACGAGCAACTGTTGTTTTGCCTGGCAAGCACCGTCATTGGTCATGTTATAGAAATAGAGCTGCAGACTAGGTGATCTTACCTGTGCCCGGATTCCCAAGAAATGAAATATTCAAGCGGTCATTTGACACGTCAGCATTTTGCCGCATGCTGACCTCGATCATGGCTTTGATCCGAAGAATCTGCAATTTGACTTCTTCCAGTCCAATCATATCCATGACGGAATCGATAGCATCGTTTCGGGCGTTATCTAAATTTTTCTGACGTTTCCACTCTTCCTTGGCTGGTGAATGGCGTCTATTGGTCCACTTAGGCGCTGGTGATTTGGCAGCATCGGGTGGCTGCATACCACGGTTGTTCGACGGAGTGGACGAAGCTTGCGTGGATATGGGACTGGCCTCATTTCCTGACGACCCTCCAGAACCATGTTGGGCATTCGTCAAGGAATCAAAAGCTGGAAGAGTCATGGCTTGCGCGCCAGCAAGATCTTCCTCTTTTTGGTGAACTGCCAGGGCTCTGTCTCTGGATAACTGAGCATCCCTGAGTCTCTGTCTCTCTTCAGCTAGCATTGCGTCGAGCTTGGCTATGTTCTCAATGTGCTCTTGTTCTTCTCGAGCACGCTTCTCTCGCTGTCTCAGGTCCTTTTGTATTTCTTTCTGTGCTCTCAAAGCCTCCGCTCCACATTTGCTGCACTCGCGTGGTGGTTTGTGACATTGCCAGGACCTTTCATGGCCCTTTGGGCATTTATCGTCGAGCATGTACTCGCACTGCACCTTTGAGTGGTCGGACAATTGATGACATCGCTGCGGACAGGGGTGGAGACCACAGCCGAGCATGGTGCCACTAGAGCTGTATTAGCACTAGGCCGGCACCGTGGACTAAGGTTTACTCACCATGGCTCTTTGCACCCTCCATCAGGGCATTCGACGTCGAAATCGTTTGGTTGACGCAATAGACAGGCTGTTTCACGATGTCGCTCGCACCGCACAGGAAACCCGTCATAGACATGGCCGCCATTCTTGAGTAGACCCCAGAGCTTAGTCCAAATATCCTTCCCTTTGCGAGCCTTCAGGAAAGTTTCAGGGTTGCCAATCAAAATTAGAGCGTTACGAGCTCGAGAGAGAAGAACATTCAACCGCTCGGCCTCAGACATGAAGCCAATGTCGTGCCTAGGATTGCTCCGCGTCAAAGATGCAACAACGATATCGCTTTCCTCTCCCTGATAGTTATCGATAGTTGCGAGCCGAATTTTCCGCTCGTTTGCGTTTACACTCGCAGGTTGCATAAGACCAGCGCGGACAAGATCGAACGTGTCAAGATCGTTGAGAACGGGGTCGTTCTCCGTACTTAGCACTTGTTTGAGAAGTTTCAATTGTCCGAGATATGGTGTCAAGACCACAAGATTATCCGTTCCATAGCCTTGTTGAGCAAGATAGCGGACGCACTTCAATACCATGTCAACCTCGAATCGATTTTGTTTCGTTGATATAGAACTCATGTCCTTCCCATTCGCCGTATCTTTGGCGTCGTCTTCAGGTTTGTTATGCGAAATAAACATCAAGTTGTTCTGGAACCCACTAAGATCAGGGCGAATCAGGGTTCTCGGGGCATCAGTGAGATCAGGATACGTTAGAGAGCGGACCAGAGCAGATATTGTTGGACGCATACGGTGCTGCTGAGTGAGTGTTTGATGGGGGAAGCCTTTCAGTATCAGTCGCTCAAACAGGGATCTGTTGAGATCGTAGCCGTCGCCTTTTTCTACACTCAAGTCGTGGTTCTTGACCTTGGGCCGTAATTGTTTGTGGTCGCCGATGAGCACCAATTGCTGCGTATGCGGACCAAAGCTTGTCAGGATGTGACTTTCCAGAATTTCACCAGCTTCTTCCACTAATACAACGTCTCGGGAAGCTGCTTGAAGCTCTTGCGTGTATTTCGCTGCAGCTGTAGTTGTACATGCTATGACACGTCTTGAGGCTATTATTTGGGCATTCCCCTTCTTGAACATGTTGTCCAGCTCGCTTTGAGCCTCGTTGTATTGTTCCGCAATGGCGTATAGCTCGGAAACCTTTTCTTTGAGTATGCCAAGCTTCCAGGACGACAACGAGGCCTGCCTTGCAGACACCTGCATCTGCCATATATCGTGTGCATTTTTGGGAACTTCGTCGGAAAAGATACCAGCGTCTTGGCCATTTGACCATCGATCGAAGAGATATGAGTCGCTAACAGCTTTGCCGCCTGGACCAACCATCGTCGACCCGTCTTCAGCTTCGGGCACTGTGAATGCATTGTAATAGTCTTCACCATCAGGAAGAAACTCAAGGTATTCTATCAAATCCGCCGACCGAAGGTTAGTCGACTTGTATCTATCGAATGCGCGCTCCAAACGGATAGTATGAGCTTCTATCTTTGACTTGAGGCCATTGATCTTGGTCCAAGAGGCGTTCGTCTGCCTGTATGTAGTAGACTGTTCGTACAGAGACATGCATTTCGTTCGTGGGGTCGACTTTCCCCCAAGCCGCAGCATCTCATCAGCCGGAATTCCGATGTCAAGTAAGTCTTCGAGGAACTGATCCAGAGCATGATTGGTAAAACAAACCACGAGAATTATCTTCTTTGTGAATCTGTAAATGGACTTGGCGATCAGAGCTCCAATAAATGATTTGCCAGTACCTATAACTCGTTTAGACACCCCTCATGTCGGGATGAACTGGAACGAACTCACCCGGCGGGCCCTGTATCAAGCTCACCCGCTGCTTAAGCCCTGTTAAAAGAGATTTCATTTGGGCTTCGTCCAGTCGGATTGACTTGGCGGTTTGCAGGACATCTTGGACATCTTGTGAGGGATCGTTCTCGAGACTATTGATCAACGCCACAGGTGCATGCGGAGGTTTGACCGGGACGCTATCGGGACTCCAAAGCAAGAGCTCATCCGCGAGGGACAATTCTCGAATTTCTTGAAGCCCTCGCAACACCGGTTCATAAGCAAAAACAGCTGTATCTATTTGCACTAGTTTCACATGCTGTGCAGTCTTCAGCTTGAGCAGCGACTTGGACGTGCTTGCAATGCCTCTGAGATGTAGCGCGATAACCGGAGGTTTGCGAGCGAGTTGATCGACGTCTCGATGTATGGTTGGAAAGGCGGCAATGTCTTCGTCCACAATCAAGCATGCTAAGGATTGATGTTTGAATAGATTCTGGTTGGCACGGAGATAGTCTTTGCGCTCTTTATTCTTCACGTTCGCTGGTTCAGTTGGGTCTAGGCGGTTGTCTTTGCGTTCCTTATCCTTCACTTTGGCTAGTTCGGGTAGGTCTGATAAACACTGGAGCCGCAGGGACCATGGTAGTCGCTTCTTTGGCTCTCCACAATCAACACCGAGAATTGTAAGTCCGTCTACCATTGTGCCTCTGTGGCGTCCTTTCTTCTTCCCCAAAACGATCTGAAGCTCATCGCGCAATTCCTTTAACAAGTCCTCGCGAAGGAGTCGGAACTGATTTTCAAGATGCATGGTGAGGCGCTTGTCTTCGTAAGCTGGATCTTCCAGTGTCTCAGCTCGACGAAGAAATGCCGGTTCCGCCGAGCGAATTTCATCGGCCGTGGGATGGATAGCAATTTCACGAAAGTCTGCGAAGTCATTGTCATGTCTTCCTCCTGGACCATGTCCATCGTCATCAACACCAGGTGCATCAAGACTGGAGATAGTATGTTTGATCTTCTGCCCCATTGTTCGTATTTCGAAGGCCGGAGAATTGAGGAGCAAAGCTTGGATCAAGGGATCTTGCGCAATAGCAGTATAAGAGCCACTGTTGCCGGAATTTTGGCACAGTAGCTCGTGTAGAAGCCAGGCGAAGCACTGTTGGGAGTCTATATTCAGTAAGGCGTTACGGAAGGACTGTAAGAAGCCGTTCCAGAAGATGGGCGGCTCCACCATTGGCCGAGTGACCTGGCGGACATAATCTCCCCCAAGAATCATCTTTAGCCCAGGATCTTGGATGTACCGAATCAAGGCTGCGGCTGGTCCATTGTGGAAGGAGGCGGAGGCGTCGAATCGAAGACTACTTTGCACGGCTGAAAGACCTGCTGAGCTTGATATGACTTTGTCAATGCATGTTGGTGGATCAGGCTGATCACATAGCGCCTCGATAAAAAGCTCTGCCTGTTTAGTTGTCTTCAATGATTGATCTCCACGCAGAATTGAATTGAAGTATCTTGCGAGCTTTGCTGTCCTAACAGATGGGTCAGCGGACGACGAGGAGAGCATTGCAAAGCTTCAACATCCAATGCCAAATGTGACTATAAATGGAGGAAAGGACGAGAGGGTTTCGTCACAAGAAGGAGAGCAGGCTATTGTAGACTGAGTCTGAGTCCTCTGTTCAACGGATTTACAGCTTCAGAAGGTTCGATGACACAAAAGTTGGGCATAAATGGAGATAGGCAACAAAGTGGGCAGAGCCAGCCTTGTTCGGACGGCCGCATAAAGCCGAGCACGAGGCCGGCAACAAATCAGGACATGCATAGACGCGGAGAGGCAACCAATCAAACATTGCATGTTTGAAGACGAACGAAAAGACGCTGGGCCCATCAATCTGTCTCCACTTTGTAACGAGACATCTTTGTAGCTAGTGAAAGCATGAATATCTTTACAAAACAGATCTTGAACTTGAGACGGTAAAAGGACTGAGCATGATCGGAGGAAATCCTTCGTTCTACGGAGCTTGGAGAAGAGTTCTCGGTGGATTTTGAAGGGAAAGCCAGCCGAAGATCCAAGTATTAGCGTGTGCAGAAAACGTTGGAATACTTAGCACTGAGATTATCACACACACACCACCAAAAATAATACTGAATAGATAAATCTTCTCCCATATCGCATTCTACCACCTTTCTTATTATATTTAAAACTTCTATATATCTCGCTTAGTGTGAGATAGCAAGGCCTCTTTTAATAAAACTACGTAGTAGCTATATAATTACGAGATCTAGATATATAATTAATAGAATAGATAGATTAATTATTAAATAAACTAATAACTAAAAAAAGAAGAAGAGAAAAGAGAACTTATAAGTATTTAAAACTTCGTTAAATATATTAAATACTCGCTTTAGCTATATAACTTGTAATCTAATAAATAATATAAGCGAGTCTATTAATTCGCTTCGAGTATTTCTACTCTTATAATTATATTTTTCTTTAAAAGATATAACCCTTAAATCTTATTATTATTATATCTTATAATTAAATACTATAAACTTACTAGTTCTATATATATTATCTATTACTAGTTTAAATATAGTCTAAATTAATATATATTATAATAACGTATTTAAACTATTTATCTTAAGATTTTCTTAAATATATTAATATATTTATATACTAAATCGCGATAGTATTACTTTATATATTATTATCTTAATTAATAAAATATAAATATATTATTACTTTATTACGATATACTATTATTACTATTATTATATACTATTATAATTATTATTACTTTAATAATTATAATAATTTTATTATTATAATTATAAACGTTATATTAGTAAATATAAAAATCTTACTTTTAATCTAACTTTTATTTTTTTTAATAATAATATTAATATTAATACTATTATAAGTAAATACCTAATTCTTTTTTATATCTATTATCTTATCTTTATTTATTTCTATTATAATATCGCGATAGCGAGCTATATATTATTATAATAATATAATATATATATTAATTAAGATAATAATTAAATAAGATTATAATTATTTAAATTAACTTTATATATAATAAATATCTCGAAGAATACTTTATAATACTTTATAAATAATATAAAAAGTATATTAATATATTAATAATAATATTAAATCTTCGCTCTTATAGCTCTATAAGCTATTAAATACTTATAATTATTATTATTTCTACGCCCCTCGCTATAACTAATAGATATTTATCTCTATTTTAAAGATATACTTAGCTAAAAAAGCTTAATAGCTTCTCTTATTATTATTTTTATCTTTATTTATAAATAAAAGAGATATTAAATAACTAAGAGATTACGCTAATATATATTAATCTCCTTTTATTATTATTATATATATACTCTTATATATAATTCTTATATAATTTATACTACGCTTTTTATTAGCTCGCGCTAATATAAATATAAATAATACTCTTATAAGAGTTATATATATATTATAGACTTAATCTTTTATTATTAAAATAATATTCTTATTATAACTTATATTAATAAGAATATTTATATTATTCTTTAAATATAAAGTAATATAAATCTTAATTAGTATATATTAGATTATATAGCTAATATATATAGCGGCTTATCGCATTAAGAAATTTTAATATAATATTACTATCTTCGTTACTTCTTCTACTACTTCTTTTATCACCTCTTATATTAAATCTTTTTACTATTTAATAAATCTTTTAAATAAAAAATTATTTTTTAATATAAGAGAATAAATAGATTAATACTAGATAGTAATAATTATATATATAATCTTAATAATTACTTTTCTTATTATATATAACATTTTAACGCTTTAAAATCGATCTATAAACTTTTTAATTATATTCACTAAATCTTTTAATTATAATTTTATTTATCTATCTAAATCTCTTACTACTACTACTTTCTTAATCTTTCTTATTTTTTAATTTCTCTTAATAATTATATTTTTAATTTTATCTTAAATATTAATTTATATAATTTTTTTACTTACTTAAAGTTCTTAATTACACCTTTAATATTTTTAAAATATTTTATTAATTTTTATAAAGTTTTATAAGATAAAGAATCTTTTTAATTAATAAGATATTTAATTTTATTTTTATAAACTCTTTTATCTAGCATCTTATTAATCTTCTATTCTTCTTCTTTATTAATTAAAATTACTTATAATTTTAAATTATTTTTATATAAATACTATAGCTCTAATAGCGATATATAAAATATAAAATAGATTTTTTTATATTTAGTTAAGAGATCTAGTTTATAAATCTATATATTTATTTTCTCTAATATTTTAAAAGATCTAAGCTATCTATAATTTAATTTCTTCTTTAATTATAAAATATATATATTTAAGCTTTATAATAGTATTTTATTCTCTTTCTTAAAGATTATAATCTTATAATTACTATTATAATACTTTACTTATTACTTTAATACTCGCTTTTATAATTCTTTTAGATATAATCTTATCTCTTATAATTAATTTATTCACTCTATAATAAGTAATACTTTTCCCCTTAAGATTCTATTCTTAAAAGCATTTTTTAGATCTACTATATATCTTATTAATAGCTCTTATAAAATCTTATTAATATTTATATATATACTATTATTATATATAAACGCCGCTATTAATAAGATCTCGAGTTAATTATTTTATTTATAATTATAATATATTTATAAATAGTATTTTAATATCTAATTTTATCTCTTAATTTAATTATTAATTTAAAAATAAAATATAATATTAAGTTTACACTTCGCACTTAGATATTAATATAATATTATTTAGAACTTACTTATAAATAAAGAGTCTTAATTTAAAATTAAGTTATATATTATATTATATAATAATATAAATTCTTATTATAAGATATTAATAAGATTATTAGCCTTTAAATTCTTTATAATTACTATATATATTATATATTTAATTAATTTATCTATTATAATTAAGATAATATTATAAATTTTATTAATATATAAATTTCTTATAAATAATAGATTTATAATAAAATCTAATATTATAATATAAAATAGATTTATATTATCTAGAAAGATCGATGTTAACTCGCTATATAACTTATAATAATAAATTTATATTTTTTAATAATCGAGATAAATACGAATATACTCTACTATATTACTTATTATATTTATTTAATAATATTTAAATCTAATACTCTTTTTAATATATTTACGAGTAAAGTATCTAGTATTAGAATTATTATAATTTATATAAAAAATCTCTTTCTTTATAGTAAGATTATTAAGAATATAAATTATAAGACTATAACGTAATAGTCTATTCTTATCGACTTTTTATTTTAAAAACTTATTCTATTTAATAGCGTATTTTTAACGTTACTCCTTATTTATAATAAAAGTATTCTTATATTATAATTTAAGTAATTATATTATTATTAATTCTTATAACTTTAAATAAAATCTCTTTAACTTTAAAATTTAATAAATTAGAAATTAAGATAATATTATAATATCTAGAATACGTATTTATTTATTAAATACTCTCTTATCTAAATTAATAACTTAAATATCTATAATAATAATATTATTTAATTATTTTATTAACGCTATAAATTTAACTATAATAAATATACTATTATATTTCTATAAATTAAATTAATATTTCTAATTATAAAGCTTATTTCGTAAGATAAAGAGAAAATTATTATTATTATTCTCGCTATTATTTAATTTAATAATATTAAATCTTCTTAATAATATATTTATAGAATTAAATTTTTTCTTATAATATTTAATTATAAAGTTAAATATAGCTAATTTCTTAATCTAGCGAATCTAATTTATATTAAACTCTTTTATTATTATAAAATAATATAAATTATTATAATCTAAAATTATATAAATAGAGTACTTATTATTTTATAAGTAATATTTTTAATTTTTAAAATCTAGCATAATTATATAAAGCTTCTTATTATATATATTCTAGTAAAACTTAGCGCTCTTAAATTTATAGCTAAAAAAAATAATAAAATATTATTATCTATCTTCGCTTAGTTAATTAAATATATTATCTATATTTATATTAGAAATATTAATCTTTATAATAAATAGTATTTTCTAATTATAGTATTTTAATATAAATACAATAATAAATATTCGCTTAAGTATTTTAAAAGTTTTATATACTTTTTTATTAAATATAAAGAATAATTTAATCTCGTCTTTCTTTATTTTTTAAGTTAAATCTATTAAAAGCGTAGCTATCTATAAAAAGCCTTATATAAATTATTAATAGAAGTTTATAAATTTTAGAAAGATTAAGATATTTTTAATAGATTCTAATTTTAATTATTTAGTAATAATCTTAATACGCGATAACTTTATTTAAATATCGCGTTAATTTATTAAGAACTCTAGAAACATAATCTTATTATAATTAAAAATATATTTCGATAATTTTATATAGAGTCGATATTTTAATAGTACGTATAGTATTTTATATATATACTCTTAATATAACTCTTTTAT